TTAAATATCCGCACTCCAAACATTTTTAAAGGGACTATGCTGTTAAGTACCTACTCATGCTCATAATGCCAGGCACTGTTTGTGCTATGCATTGAAATCCACCCCTTTCATATTGAGAAAAGCATCCGAGTATCAGAAGCAACACTCTTTAAGTATTGCAAATCAACTCTAATCCTATTCATTACATTATACTTATACTTTATGATTCAAGATCACAGACTGGGCTATAGAGACTGAAGATTCCAAAGGGCAGCCACATTTTAGGAAAAGTACAGCCGGGCAATATGATTGCATTCCAATGTAGTCATTACATTGAATTACTCATTCGGTAGTTACTCAATTAATTAATTAATGAATGTCGTAATTATTATTCAAAGTATTTTTTTCTTCCAGTATAAGGGACCAAATTAATGGAAAAAAAGGAACATGGGAAACTGTATGTGTGAAGTAAAATATGTGCTATCCAAAAGTTAATTGAAAATGGCTGCAGGTTCTCAAAAGATTACAGGGGAGGTTGAGATGAAGACGGTCATTCAGTCAATTTGATCTCACCCTTCAAGAATTCCAGCTTTACTGAGTTCCCATTTCAGCATCAAACGTAAATGAATCCAATGCCCCGGCCTCAACCATTCTTCTTGGAAACACAATTCAGCCATTAATTACTCGTTGCTTTCTGCATTACTGCCTCTGGAGCCTCCCTCCCCCTACCTCGTGGAGTGCTACAGCTCAGTGGTTAGAGCACTCACCTTGCAAGCGAGAGACCTGGGTTCATTCCCGGCAGGGCAAAATGTTGGGCAAATTTCCTTACTCCACACACCTCCTTTACCTACCAGTAAGTAGGAATCCGGTGATTAGTCGATTGGCGGATCGCTTTTCTAGGGGGAATAAACCCTTCAAAAAAAATAATAATTTGGTCACTCAATCCACGACTGTTTGTGGGACACTGCTGTGCACAATTGGCTGCTGTGTTTCGACCACAAAATATACAGTCAATTCTCTTTACATTATATTCTGTGAAGCGCTTTGAGACGTCTCGAAGATGTGATAAGGCGCTATATCAAATGCAAGGATTATTATTATTATATTGTGCTAACTGTATGCAAATCCTCCATATCCTTTGACGGGGGTAGGGACAGGAGATAAACTTGCTCCAAGGTGATATGCTTGGCAAGTGAATGTCGTAATTTTGTCAATCCTCTGTGGTGGTAATCAGTAATCCGGTTCATGAGCCAGGTGGATCTGCACTGCAGATGACAGACCAGCTGGCCTGGCTCTTCCGTAGAACTTGGAGGTGCAGGGATTCTTCCCATCTCCTGTTAACTCTAAGTACCAAAACCTCAAAGGGTAGGGTGCTCCTAGCTAGACAAGCAATGAGAAAGCTGCCAGATGGTGCTTTCAACGGCAAGCTATGCAGTTTTAACCGGCTAAATTCAAGCAGTACTCCAACGCAGACTCTGGAGTCCCCATGCCTTGGCTCTTGCCAAATTGCTCCTAATACTCTCCAGAATTAGGTAAGCCGGGTCCCTCCAGGGAAAGAGTGTACATTCGATTCCAGTCATGGAAATTTCCATGTTTACCTCATGCCTGAAATGCTGTACACTGTCCAGGGCCTTGGGACGTCCTCCATACGTGAAAGGTGCTATACAAATGTAATCTTGTTGCTGTTGTTACTTGTCACTGACTTGTCACCGACATCTTAGCCAGGACCACATAGCCTGCGGGCTGATGCTGTCCCGCTGATCGCTCGCTTCTGGTCTCTGCATGCGCGTATTGGCTGCCGCCCCGACCCGAGCCTCCCCCTCCACTCTAAATGTCTCTCCTCCCACCTCCCTCTATCCGCTACTCCCACACTGTCCTTCTCTCCCACCGCCCCCCCCTCCCTTGCCTTCTCTCTCTCCTGGACCCCATCACCACTTCTCTCTGCTCCAGCCTGGGCATCCTCCGCCGGGCATCCTCCACTGGGCCTATCATGGGTCCAGGCACTGGCTGTCCCAGAGCAACAACCCCAAGTGTCCAATCATTCACTCCCTCCGCACAAACCGCCTCCTTAAGGCAAACACAACTTCCCCCTTCCTCATACGTATCCTCCCCAACTCTCCACTCCCCCCACACTCCACAGCCATCTCTTCTGTACACCCAAAAATCATCTCTGTATCACTCTCTCCATCCTCTCCTCCCACCGCATTTCCCTTCAAAATGTCCATTCCCTCACAAACAAAGCCCTCACCATCCATGACCTCATCCTGGATGAGCATCTCGACATTGTTGGGCTTTCAGAATCCTGGCTCTCCCCCAATGACCCCGTCCCGCTAGTTGAAGCCTCCACTCCAGGCTATACCTTCCACCACACCCCCTGTCCAAACCAATGTGGGGGCGGGGTGGCCATCATCTCCAAAGCTTCCCTTGGTCTTTCCCCCCGTTACTCTGGCTGCTTCCCCTCTTTTGAGCACCTCACCCTCTTCCATCCCTCTCTCCCACTGAAAATCATTCTGGTCTACTGCCCCCCCAAGACCCTGGCTCCTTTCTCTCTGACATCTCTACTCTCCTCTCTTCCCTGTCCCTCTGCTCCGAACGCCTGCTCATAATGGGTGATTTCAACCTCCACCTAAACTCCTCTTGCACCGCATCTTCTGACTTCACTGCTCTCCTCTCCTGCCTAAACCTCACCCTTCACATAAATTCACCGACCCACAACCGTGGACATGTCCTCGACCTCGTCATCACCCCCGGCCTTGACATTTCCAACCTGAGCATAATGGACAAAGCCATCTCGGACCACTTCCTCATCTCCTTCTTCTCTCACATCCCTCCCTCCTCCACCAAGGAAAAGGCTACTCCCTGAGACCCTCACAAAGCCCCTCACATCCTCCGATATCCTATCCCTCTGGTCTTCCACCCACAGAGATCCTGAAGTAGCCGTCCAGCTGCTCCATGATCGCCTCTCCTCCACCTTCAACCCTCTCGTCCCCGTATTTCAAACTTGGCCTTCCTTGCCAAAGTCCTAGAACGCGTTGTTGCCCATCAACTCTGCGCACACCTCTCCTCCCACTCCCTCTTCAAACCCCACCAGTCCAGTTTCCACCCAGCCCACAGTACAGAGACTGCACTTGTGAAAGTCTCAAAAGACATCCTCTCTATTTGTGACCAGGGCTCCCTCTGCCTCCTTGTCCTCCTGGACCTCTCCGCCGCTTTCGACACAGTCGATCACATCATCCTCCTCCACCGCCTTTCCTCCGTCATCCACCTCAGTGGGACCGCACTCACCTGGCTCGAGTCCTACCTTACAAACCGCCAGCAATACATCTGCACAAACAGCTTTTCCTCCCGCTCTGACCCGGTTACCTGCAGGGTACCCCAAGGATCCATCCTTGGCCCCCTCCTCTTTCTGATCTATATGCTCCCTCTTGGGGATGACATCCGCAGACATGGGGTACACTTCCACATGTATGCGGACGACACCCAACTCTATTTTTCCACCTCACTTTGCAACCCCCAGGCCCCTGATGTTCTGTCAGCCTGCCTGTCAGACATCAGGAGCTGGATGAGCGTGAATTTCCTGCAGCTAAATGTTGACAAGATAGAAGGCATACTCTTTGGCTCTCGTCAACGTCTTCAATCGCACGGTTCTCACCTCCTCCACCTACCCAACCTGCCCCTAAAACTCTCCGAACCCGTAGGCAACCTAGGCGTCAGGTTCAAACCCCAATTATCCTCCCCCCCCCCCCCCACATCCGGTCCCTCACCAACACCGCTTTCTTCCACCTCCGACGCATCGCCCGTCTCCGTCAATCTCTCACCCTAATTGCCACCAAAACACTGGTCCATGCCTTTGTCACCTCGCAGCTGAACTATTCAAATGCCCTCCTCGCCGGTCTCCCCTCCACTACCATTCGTAAAAGGTCATACAGAATTCCTCCCCATTCTTACCCGCACCAAACCCCGCTCCCCGATCACCCCAGTCCTTGCCAGACTGCACTGGCTGCCCGTCCCAGAGAGGATCGACTTCAAGATCCTCACTTGTTTTCAAATCCCTCCACTCCTCTGCACCCCCCGACCTCTCTGACCTCCTCTCTCCTCACAACAGTGCCCGTTGCCTTCAGCCACTACGCCCCGAGGCTCTGGAACTCCCTCCCTCACTCCCTTCCCCTCGCCCCCTCTCTTTCTACATTCAGGTCTCGGCTGAAGACCTTTCTTTTCGACTGCACCGTTGGTCACGTTCCTTCCCCTCCCCCGACTCGGCCCCGGGATCCATTACTGTGAAGCGCTCTGAGACGCCGGCCGGCGTGGAGGGCGCTATATAAATCCAAGTTCTCGTCGTTGTTGTTGTTGCTTCCATCGAGATGTCTCAGAGTGGTGTCACTCTGTGTATTTTGTCGGCAATGTGGTTGAGGTATTTAAAAAAGCAGTAGGAAGAGACAGGTTAGATAGTGGACAACTTACTGCCTCTCCCTCTGGTAGGGAACTGCTTTAGAGGAGGATTGTGAAAAGGTACGGTTTCAAAAGCAGAACCCAGAACAGAACTTCCCTCGAGTACTGCGGAGATGTGAAACCAGAGGCAGAATCAACAGATGTTCAACTGAGAGATGAGACAGATACTTGGGCAGCAGATACACAACCGTACGGTCAAGTCACTTTACAGTCTATTCTGTGGAACGCTTTGAGACGTCGAGAAGACGTGAAAAGCGCTATATGAAATGCAAGGATTATTATTATTTACCTGTGGAGCAGATGAATTACGGGTTATGGCAAAAAAGCGGGGCATTCGGGTTGAAAGACCTGACAAGATATAATACACTCCTGGGCTGAACGGACTCCCCTGAGGCTCCGACACCTCCCTCCCTGTCAGAGGTGGCGGCAGATGAAGAGTGACTGCCCCCGAGTCCCTGTGACCTGACCTTTCTAGAACAGTCCTCGCAGCTCTCGCGCCCACTCCTCTCCTCCCCCCCACCCGCAGGCACTCTCACTACGCATGCGCCGCGGGGGACCGGCGAGCACCGTTTGGGGGCAGTGTCTGGTGGCGGGAGCGGGTGAGAGCCGCGCCGGGCCGGGCCGGGCCGGGCCGGGGGGGCCGGGGGGGGATCTGGTGACAGGCCTGGAGCGGGGGAGAGGGGGCCGTGTCCGAGCCTCTCCCACCCCCTCCTCTGGGGGGAAACTTGTGTGTAATTTCTGGATCTTTCACTGTCTCCTGTGTTTGTGTCCCGGGCTGTGTGTCCGTTACCATGGGAACCAGGCGACGCACTGTGGTGCTCACTCTCTGCTCTTATTACTGCCTCTCTCTATATATATATACACATTACTGCCTCTCTCTATATATATATACACATTACTGCCTCTCTCTCTATATATATTACTGCCTCTCTCTCTATATATACACATTACTGCCTCTCTATATACACATTACTGCCTCTCTCTATATATATACACATTACTGCCTCTCTCTATATACACATTACTGCCTCTCTCTCTATATATATATACACATTACTGCCTCTCTCTATATACACATTACTGCCTCTCTCTATATATATACACATTACTGCCTCTCTCTATATACACATTACTGCCTCTCTCTCTATATATATACACATTACTGCCTCTCTCTCTCTCTATATATATACACATTACTGCCTCTCTCTCTCTCTATATATATATACACATTACTGCCTCTCTCTCTCTATATATATATACACATTACTGCCTCTCTCTATATACACATTACTGCCTCTCTCTATATATATACACATTACTGCCTCTCTCTCTCTCTCTATATATATACACATTACTGCCTCTCTCTCTATATATATATACACATTACTGCCTCTCTCTCTATATATATATACACATTACTGCCTCTCTCTATATACACATTACTGCCTCTCTCTCTATATATATATACACATTACTGCCTCTCTCTATATATATATACACATTACTGCCTCTCTCTATATATACATTACTGCCTCTCTATATATATAAATATATATACATTGCCTCTATATATATTTATACATTTAAGCCCCCCTCTATATATATATATATTTTACTGCCTCTCTACATATATTACCGCCTCTATATATTACTGCCTCTCTCTATATATTACTGCTCTCTATATATTACTGCTTCTCTATATATTACTACTCTATGTATATATATTACTGCTGTATATATATTACTCCCCATATAGTACTGTCTATATATTATTGTATCTGCATAGTACTGTCTCTCTATGTTACTGTCTCTACATAGCTCTGTCTCTCCATATTTCACTCGATATTTTACTGGGTCTCTATACACTACTGTCGCTCTCTAAATTATTGTCTTTCTATTTATTACTCTACATAAATTGCTGTCTGTCTCTCTGTTACTTTCTTAATATATCTATTACTGTCTCTACATATTACTATCTCCATATATATTGTATATTATTGTTGCTCTTCCTCTATGTATTATTGTCTCTCCCCATTATTGTAGCTCAGTGGTGAGAGCACTCGCTTTGCAAGTGAGAGACCCGAGTTCAATTCCAGGCAGGTCAGGGCGAAACCTTGGGCAAGTTTCCTTACTCCACACGCCTAATAATAATCCCTCCAAAACCAAAAAAAACAATAATAAATTGGTCATTTTCAATCTATGACTGTTTGTGGGACATTGCTGTGCGCAATTGGCTGCCGCGTACGCCCACAAATATACAGTCAATTCACTTTATAGTGTGTTCTGTGAAGCGCTTTGGGACATCCTCCTGACGTGAAAAGCGCTATATCAAATGCAAGGATTATTATTATTATTATATTATTATACCGTCTTTTTATATTACTTTATCCATTTACTGTTTATTTCTATTACTCTGCTATAATTATAATTTGAGCAGAAGTCCATGTACCACGCTGTTGATAATTTTAGACAAACTCTGGATATTCTAAAAAACTTTCCTGCATTTTATTAAAATTATGTTCCAAAAATGATATAGAATGATCATTGTTGAACTTTTTTTGCTGTGAATTTATTTTTAATGGTATATATTTTTCTCTTTTAATAGTGTATGAGATGTTAAAAGTGCACAGAGAGCTTCCAGAACTACTTGTCTCTTATGGAAAGGATGCAGTCTTCAATGACCAAAAAGCCAATAAAAGCACAAAACGTATTTGGTGGCTCTACATCTCACAGGAAGACAAGTGCTGAGATTATAAGTGAGGCTCGTTCATCACTAAGAATATTAAAGACTCAAAGACCATTTACCCCAAAAGATGACCAGAGGAAACTTTTTGGACCTACTTCTTCTCGTACACCTGAAAATAGACCTCCATCTGCCTTCAGGTAGAACATGATACTATTAATGTTTTACTCTTTTCAATGTGTGTATCAGTCAATATATTTTTGGGGCCACCAGATGTCAGATGCATATGGAAACCCACTGTTAAGTCCTCCAAACCAAACTACTGAATGTTTCATATGAATGACTTCTCTGTCTGGTATGGTGTATACACTCTCTGCTTAGATGCAGCTTAGCTTGGGGTTAAGCACCAAGGGTTGGGGACCCCAAAATGTTACCAGTTAAAACTTCAGCAGAACCCCAATATTCATTATAAACAACAACTTTATGTAGCACCTTTTACATAAGATAATATCTTGATGCACTTCACAACAATGTTGAGGAAAGAGGGAAAGGGTGAGGTGACCATAAGCAAAAAGGTAGATTTTTAAGGCTGGATTTCAAGACAGATAGAGAGAGAACGAGATGGAGGGGTAGACGTTGGGATCATTTTAGATTATGCCTTGTCCACCAATGGTGATGTGAGATGGGTGAGGAATGTGCAGCAGCCCTGAGTGAGCAGAGCCGTGAGCGGGGTAGGAGAAGATAATGGAGATAATGAGGTACTGGGGCGTGAAGGAATTTATAGCTGGGTGAGATCCTTGAGTCAATCTGTTTTGGGAAACGGAGAAATAGTGCACTGGAGTCCTTACTGGACCTCCAGCACCCAAAATGAGATTGGCTACCTCAGATTACAGTGAGTCAACCTAGGACCTTTCTTGGTTCTGTGTTGTTTAGTGTCATGCCACAAATTACATATATGTAGAGAATAACTGAGGATTTCGACCCAGAGGTTTTTCACACTATGATAATATAGCGCAGTTCATTTTCTGATTATTATGTTACTTTATGTATTTAGTTTGAAACCAATACAGTAAAGAAGGTCAGTAGGCATTGTGCAAATAAATCGTATTCTGTTTTCTCTACAGTCTCCATGCTCGTAGTTTTGAAGGAAGTGATTCACGACCTTTATCAGTAACTCGCCTCACCCCACTTGGTCATGTGAGTGAACAATGAGATAAACTGATCATTAATATGCTTTTGGTTCAAATTATTTAAAATAGACACAGAATGAACATCTCAGTAGAAATGATAATGTAGTGGTTCTCACCTGTTGGCATACTTCATTTAATTTTATGTCAATCTATAAGAATTGATTCCGCTTGTGCTGACAGTAATACTTTTATATCCCAATGAGTCGTTAAACTGAGGCCTGTCTGCCTGTTCAGCTCGATGTTAAAGGTTTCATGGCACTATTCAAAAAGAGAAGGGAACTTCACCTAGTGTCCTGGCCAACAACCCACCCAAATAAATTTGGTCATTCACTTCATGGCTGTTTGTGAGATATGCTGTGCGGTCATCAGCTGCTGCATCCACATACAAAACACAGTCACTAAGCTTTACAGTGAATCCTGTGAAGCGCTTGCCCTGAAGGCGGGATTGAATGGAAGAAAAGCAATTTTCATCTCATGCTTTTCACCCCCCCTGCTGGATGGTTAACAGATGACAAAAGAGAAACCTGGGAGCAAACCTGGAATTTGTCACATGGAAAGGAAAACAATTTCAAGAAATGTATATCTATGATCTTACATATATTCGTAACAATTATTTATAAGTACAAATAAGAAGTACAAGACCATTGTTAAGTGCTCTGGGACACTGCCCAGCATGGAGGACACTATATAAATCAAAGTTGTTGTTTTAAATCAACTGGGATTTTTCAATTCTTATTGTGGAGTCCTGTAGCTCAGTGGTTAGAGCACTCACCTCGCAAACGAGAGACTTGGGTTCGATTCCTGGCAGAGCAAAATTTGGGGCAAGTTTCCTTACTCCACGTGCCTATGTTTACCTACCAGTAAGTAGGAACCCGGTTTTTAGACGGTTGGCAGATCACTTTTCCGGGGGTAATAATTCCTTGAAAAAAATAATAATAAATTTGTCATTTCAATCCACGACTGATTGTGGACACTGCTGTGTGCAATCGGATGCCGGATTTCATCCACAAAATATACAGTCAATTCATTTTACTCTGTATATTCTGTGAAGCACTTTGACACATCTCAAAGACGTGATAAGGCGCTATATCAAATGCAAAGGTTATTATTACAAAGTGAACATAGATGAAGAATGTTAATTTTTTCTGGCAGCAGAGAATTCAGTGATACAAAATGTTCTTATTGGTAGAGAAAGGGTTCAAAACCGAGGTAATCCCAATCATATGAGTATTGAATGAGAACAAACTAGAGTTGGAGACCATGGCACACAAGAAAGAAAAGCTGAAAGTCAAAGAACCTACGACACCAAGAAGCGCATGGAGTCTCTGACACCTGAAGCTGGCCATTTCATAAGGATATAAGAAAGCTATTACTCATTGAGTGGGGTAGTGGTTTAAATGTGGTTTCTCTGGTTCATGAGCACTTGCGAAGGGAGAGCAGAGTTGAGACTATTCTTTGGTAGATACCTGATGTTAGGGTTAAATAAATGTGGTGAAGTAAGGACCGACACAAATTCTTCAATCAATTAATATTTATTAATACAAATGAGTTAAATAATGCATATCAAAATTATACGTTTCATCAAATCAAATTAATGCTACCGACAGGAGGGTAAAGTTCACTGCAATGAATTGATCAGATCAAATAAAGTGGCTTTGATGAGGAATCACCTTGTTAATCATTATCGATTCTAGCATGTCCCTCTTTTTCTCGATATTATTTACTGTTAGGTACTCCATTTCCAAAACTCAGGCTTCGCACCTTTTCAAACTCAGCTCCACTCCTTTCCTTTAGACACATCGATCTTGCAAAAACATCAGGCCATCAGCTCCACAAAAACATCTTTTTGCCAATTGTCTCCTGTTACCAGAATCCAATAATCGTCAACATATCCTTGTCTTTATTAAGATTCCAGCAGTTTTAAGGAAGTCTGAAAAAGTCTGAGAAAGTCCATTTTGTAGCCAACAACAATGTCTTATCAACAATGATGAAACTTTGTGTTCTATAAATGTGCTTTCGTGGTTCACAGCTGCAGTTTTTCTGAAGAGAACAAGTCCATGAACCTTTGTGATTTTTTTTTGTTGGTCAACTCAAGGAACCAAGAATTCTGGATTGCTTACAGTCAGTCCCTCCTCTCGTGGGTCAAGCTAACAGCGTAGGCCCACTATCACCATTAGAATCTTCACAACTCCCATTCATATCAGCCACCACATTAATCTTTTCAATTAATTTTAGCATGTGTATTATTATCATAGAAATTTTCATGTTTACATCAGATTTCTTGAATTTTCTTTTAACCCAATGGATGATCTGACAATTAAAACAAAATATTAATTGTTTTTAATAATTTTGATTAAAATGTAATAAAAAATTAGCAAAGTTATACATAAATTGTAAGACCACAAAAATTTATTATTACTTCAGTGGATGATCCCTTTTTATTTTTAAAATTCCCAATGAATGTCTTCGTACTTGATTTGTTATATACATAGTTTTGAGTAAATAGTGGAACAGACAAAGTAAATGATACATAAAATACATCATGATATCCACAAATAATATTAGGTCAGTTGACATTATAACATTTATAAAAATACCTGTTCCAAATATTGTCCCCAATATTCCCCAACCATCAGCTAAAACTCATCTCATAGTAAAACTGTGAACATCTTCAATTTCTTATCTGTTAATAGGATTATCCCCTTGAAGTGAAACCTGATATTATTGATCAAGGTACCCTCCTCTTGTGGACCTGTCATTGACATCTTTAATAGTATCACTTCTCTTTCTTTAATTATGATGGTTGGTCAGTGTTTACTCTACCCCGCACCTCACGCTTGTGTCACATGTCCCGAATTACTTGACCTTATCTTTAATATTTATATTCTTTCTCCTTTAGCTTTTACCTTGCTATTATTCAATACATACAATCTTGGTAAGATCTGGTTTATAATCCGCATCCAGAGCAAAGTCAGACCTATTATGGTCCTTTTTTTATTTTAATACAAATATTGCATAAACACATAGACAAAATACATAAAACATAAAACTCATAACATTATTGGCGGTTTTGTCACTGCAAAATTTCTTTTATAACCCTTTTTTTTCAACAAATTCCCCCAGAAGCTTCTTATTTTTTTTGTGATTTTTTTAAATCAGGTACTGCACTCATCTTAATATTGTGTAACATACTTTCGAGGGTAATTCCTTGCAGTTCTGGTATGGACATTTCATCCAACCATAAGTGCTCAGGTATTCTCATGGGCGTTTAGTCACAACTTCATGTAGGGAAAAACTTTAGCTGAGGAGTATTGTGACTATTCGAGTTGCTCCTTCTCGAAAACAGTTAGGGAGGCATCTGAGTCGACCAATAATAAGCAGAGTGACCTCAGTCTCATGCTGTGAATGTTGGCCTTACCAAAATATCCATCCAAAGGGTTACAACATACCCCACAGAGGCCAGGGAATCTCATTGCAATCCGGGGAGGCCTTGGTGGCCGTCCGGTGCTTTAGTTCCCAGCTGTTAAATGCTAACTGTTAACCCAGCAATAACAACAATAAATTGGATTTATATAGGGCCTTTCATGTTCAGAGGGTGTCCCAAGGCTGCAATAGGTAGGATGGTCCCAGCTGAATAAGCAGCAGCAAAGCTTGCCAAATAGTTCCTGCTCCAGGAAAAGAGTGCTTTCCATTCCAATAAATATCAGGAATTTCCTTGTATAGGTGGATGCTTGGAACAAATTGTTTTAGATACTCTTAAACATGTCACAATGCAGGTGATACGTAAACACCCGGCTAGCCAAAAGAAACCCTTCCAGACTCTCTCACCATTAAGCTGTTTCTTAGGAGTTCAATGCTCTCAATGTAAGGAAATACAGTACACTTGCTTGTTCATCTTAAAATTACCTTCACATCTGTGACTTTTATGCAAAATTTTATGTAAACTTTGGAGCTATCACATTATCACAAAGGATCAATAAAATGGCTAAAATTGGCCTAAAGGTGAAACAGGAAACCATTGTAAAAAAGCCCACAGTACAAAATTGTATGAAAATTGTTATACAATTTATCAAACCCAGTGAGGCCAACCAGAATATGTAGAATGTGTAGGAAATGGACAATCTTAAAACTGGTGCTTTTGGCCTATTTTTCTGAGATTTTGAGATTCTGAGATTAGTTATGTTTACTTGAGCTGATGCTGAAATGGAGTATACAAAACTTTATGAGCACAGAAATATAAACATGTTATAAAACTATGCATGAATTAAGGTCATATTTTGTATTGACACAGTTCATCTAATGTAAAATGCTTTTACCTATTGTTTGTGTGCCAGACTATTTAGATCAGGGTAGGGATTTCATCTTATTAATTTATTGCAAGCTTGTTTTAAATTCTTTTTTAATAGAAATCAAAAATTCTGACACCTTTTCCCAAAGATGAAGGGCCTCCTCTTCCAAAACCACCTTTGGACCCACTGGAGATTAAGAGAGTAAGCAACGCTCGTGCACGATTATTTAAAGCAGCCTCTCAGGGAAGTCTTCCGCTTGATAAGGTGATTCATTCAAAGGAAAGTAAGTGGCTTGTTCCCTATATTTAAAAAAGTTCCTATTGTGAGAAGTATTTTTCAGTTAAATAGAATTATCCTCAGATCTTTATACAAGACTTAATCAGACTTGGTGCATGTGGAACCTCCATTCTGCATAACTGAGCTGAAGTGGCACTGTTACAATATTGTTTTAATTACTTTTACAAAATGAAGTATTTTAACATTAAAATCAATGAAGCACTGATAAGTCCCACTAATTGATGGTTGACTGAGAGTCTAAAAATTGCAGAAATAAGTTGTTGCACATTTTTCACATGTTCACTGGTGCAAATCTTATTCCGGCTTCATGCCAATGCATCTTCAAAGCTAAGCAGTTTTCAAACTAATATTAATGATAGATCAGACTGTGGGTAAAATAATAAATCATGTAAGAAGAATATTTTAAATGTTCTCTTTCCTCTTTTGCTTTGTTGCACAACATCACTCATCTAAAATGTGGGGAGACGATCTGCCCTAGTCTCGAATTACTAATGTGAGGGAAGAGTGCATCAAAATGGTCAACAATGACTCTTCCCCTTTTTGTCTAGAAATGCCTGTTTTTCCTATTTCACCTCCGTATGGCAATATAAATTAATTTGGAATTTTGCTGAATGGAAACATGCATCTTGCACATCTTGGCATCTTAATTTAAATGATTACTAATTCTAAACTGGGCCACTAATTCTAAACTGAGTTACTTTTGCAGTATTTGTTTTTGCTACATCGTCGCTACTGAATATACAAATTTTAATTTACTAGGAGCAATGTTGGTAAGATTAGGCTGGAGCAGAGTTTACCCACTGGACTAGATAAAATGGTTCAAAAATATTATTTCATCTGTATTAATATTTTTGAATGCAATTTTTAATTTATGTATGGAGACAAGTCAGATTACATGCTTATTGAAGCTACTGACTGACTGTCAAAGGCGTGACAATCCAGACCTTTGTCATAAATTAAGTGATAATTTCTGCATTTTGTGATTTCATCTAGGATGAATTGAGTGGGATAATAGTAACAGGATAAGGATACAGTATATATGTTCATTGTGTAAAGTGGAAGGAAAATAACAGAATAACAAAATGAATGTCTTACTATGATTTTTTTCGTCTTTGAAATTTCGAAATGCAGTCAGGTGTTACAGTTCCAAGTGAGTTTGGTGCACCACTGAGTAGGTCAGATTGGAGTGGAGATGGGTGCAACAGAATTGTATTGGAGAATAACTACCTTATAAAAACTGGAATCGGACAAGGTTATTTTCTCTTGACTTAAGAATCTCATATATTCTTTTAATGATCATGTCAGGATTTCTGCACTCTGACGATTGGCAGTGCAGCACAATGTGTTGGAGCTCCAAAGCTATGCAGGATCACACTGCAGAGATGAATTTTAAAATAAACTTATGATGGAAATCTCTAATCTTAAAAAAAGGTCACAACTGCAATAAAAAATAAATGTACTGCAGCGGCATTTCTAGTAGGGGAGAGCAATACTAGATAAGTTATTTATGGTTTGCAGCCTCTGTCCTATCCATGATGTCACCCAGGCACATTTTTTATGAATATTAATAATACAAGAGACTAATTCAACATGATTAATCTGTAGCTGATTTCAGCTAAAAGTAATTCAGCTCTTTGAATACCTATTCATCAACTATACTATGACTTAATCAAATAGGAAATTGAAATGCACTTGTCTGTTGGTTGAGAATCAAATCTACAGTAAAAGTGACGAGTATGTTTGTTAATGTTATAAAGCATTATAAAAGCGAGGGGTCACAAATTCCAGTCACAGTTAAAAATACAACAAAATTCAATAGAATATCCCATTAAAACTATTCAGCCTGCATCACATGACTTTTTTTTCCAGAATGTCATGTGGTGCAGGCTGAATGGTTTTAATGGGATCCTCCCATCCACCCCACCATTGGTGGGGCTATCAGCGAATCTTCTCCCTCTATCTGGAACTCCCATCCCACTCGCTCCATTCCTCACCTCGTTCAAGATCTGTGTCAACACGTACCTCTTTGACTGCACTTTTGGTACAGTCTTTCATCTTTCTCCTCCTCAACCCCTTTGACTTTCACCCCTAACTTGGGTATCCAGTCAGCAGTGTGGACATCCTTCCGATGTGAAAGACACTATGTGAATTTTAATTGTGTTGTATTATAGGAGCGAGTAAATATTACAGGAGGAAGGAAATATATTTATTTCTCAGATAAAGTCTACCAGTACATTTTTAACCCATCAGAATGACAGCAAAGGTTCCTAGATTATGTTTAATTTGTGAATTTTCCATTAACTCTAATACAATCTTTCCCTTTTCCCACCTTCATGGTCCAATATCAGAGAAGGAATTAGTTTAGTTTATTATAAGTGTTCCCAGAGATCAATGTCTGTTTTTACTTAGCAGAGCTGTACTGAGTGCTTCATTATTGTGATTTGCTTACTCTGAGCGTTTCCTTTCTGCATCTTGCACTCACTGAGAAATGAGCACAAATAAAATGGTTCTGTTGTCTTTAAAAATTTTCTCCTAGCAGGGCTCTGATGTAAATGTCTAAGCTTGTGGTGACACATTCCTAGATCAGTCAAATAACACAATATTCTTCATTTGTAGAGGTAAAGAGGTTGAATTCAGAGGTATCCTTGAACGATAAAGATTTTTCTGATGGTGCTGATAAAAACATCTTCGACAATGAGAATACACAATGCAGGGGAGCAGCAAAGATCTTATCTGACAGGATGATTAAGTCAGAGGGCTCACTTACGAGACCTGGCAGTGGAAGGTACATCCATGAACTAAAACATTTCAAGTCAAGTTTTTGGAAGATTTTTTTTCTGATGTTTGATGAGATATTTGAGGACATATTTGTGGGTGAATAAGTCAGAATAGATGGCAATGTTGCAAAGTTTACAGCTTTTGATGATTTAATAAAATCATTCCCTGTACTTTTTAGATCCCTATTTATTATCTATTATTGTTGTATTTCCTCTTTAACTCGTAAAGGTAGGATGATTCAGGCTAGGAGGTGCATTCCAAACATATACTTCTTTTCCATTTTCAAAACACATTCAATGGGGGTTTGAGGCATATGCAGCCTGCCTGGTGCAGTGTGAAAAAAATAATTGACTGGAACAGGAAGCACATGGCAGAGAGCCAATTTAAGTTGAAATTAATTATTGAACTTGGAAATTTGGGACTTTTAATAATTCGCTGCAGGTGATAAACTGCTGCAGCACATCTCTTGGTATTTATCTCATGACAATTTTGGGGAATTTGTTGTGCACAAAATGGCTGCAGTGGTTGCTTAAAAATACAACAATAATAATAGTCCCACAAACAGTCGTGGATTGAGTGACCAAATTATTATTTGAAAAATACAGTCACTACACTTGACAGTAATTAGTGTAAAGCATTTTTAGACATTTGGACACATATATGCTATAAACGTTCAAATTATTTCTCTCTCTGTAGCACTCACCCTTTTACCTGATCATCTTTAGTGATTGCTTTATAGCCAGAAAATTCTATAACAGACTTCAAATGAGATCAACTGTATTTAATTCACAATAGAGCAATGGCAGTGGAAAATAAAATGTGATCTTATTGCATTAAGATGTACTGGTATGTAATTGAAATAATTGCAGTGGTTGGCTGGCCAGCAGGCAATGATTTCACCTGAAGGTATTTGTTAAAGAAGCTATACACCATAATGTGAACTAGTTAACACTCTGGTAAATGAATGCATGTTCTGTGGTGCAATAGTGCACCTTAAGCTGATTGTAGCTCCTAGTTTATCACTACACCATAATCAATTCTCCTATTTTCAGCACAAAGCTTGCATGCTGCTGAGCTATAATCACAGTAGGGGTGCTTTGCTCAGCAATAAAATATTTACCAAATCTCTAATTATATTTTTATGCACTATGGCAATTTGTAATTTTTTTTAGCTAGCTGTTTAGTTAGTAGGATGGTTAATGGAAAACTACTTTAACTGAAACCTGTTTGGCTTCAAGTAACATGGTTAACATTCCACCTACACATTAAAACTATATGGGAACAGAATTTTTAGTTCTCATCAATATCAAATTTATGTCTGTTTACAAAATAGAAAATGAAGACATAGATTTTGCTCACAACAACTATAGTACTAGGAATAATGATTTAAGAAATCTGAATATAAAATATTGTAATAGTAAAATTAAATACTTGATAGTTGTATTGTTTTAACCTCAAAATTTATCCTTTTTTGTTGAATTCAATGAATATTTTTTTAAAATGATGCCTCACATTTTAAATTAAATTGTATTGATTTTCAATTGTATTGATTCTCAATACGATAATGGCAATATAACACCAAGAATAAGGGTGATATATTAAATCTGAATATAGATTTTCCCCACATCTGTGCCTTCTTCATGTCCAGGCTTCACTTTGTCAGTTTTCTGCTTCCTGGATCTCCCAACTCTTCCCTCCACAAGCTGCAGACCATCTAGAACTCTCCACATTAGGCCCCTATTATCTACATACTTGGCTCCACTGGTTCCCCATTTCCCTGAGGATCAGGTTCAAGATCCTCATCCTCACTTTTAAATTCTCTACTGCTGTGATCTTCTAAAACCCTAACAACCTGCCATCTCACTTCACACTGCTGCTGTGACCTTCTAAAACCCTAACAACCTACCATCTCCCTTTACATCACCCACCACCATTAATGGTTAGATTTTCAGCCTTTCTGACCCCGCACTCTGGAACTCCATCTTGGAGTCCCTTCGTCTCATCCCTTCCCTCGCCTCATTCAGGTCTGTCTCAAGACTTTCCTCTTTGACCACACTTTCAGTCATCTTCCCACCTCCCATTTTGCCCCCCCTCCTCCTTGGCCCCCACCTCCCATCTTGCCCCCCTCCTCCCTTGGTACCCACCCCTCATCTGTCCAGTGCACTGGGATGTCCTCCTGATATGAAAGGCTCCTTATAAATGCAATTTGTTGTTGAGTGAAGACCTCTATATAAATGGAAGTTGTTGCTGAAATCACTTCCTGCATTCTGCATAAGCACACTATGTGTAGAAAGCGCCGCTGATGCCACAAGTGCAGGGCACAGAAAATGACATCAGGTGATTTGATAATCAGGAAGTCAGCTATTTGTTTAACATGGGAAGTCAATCAGACAGTGTTGGTTGTGTGGTATACTGTGGTTCTAATGGAGAGCGGATCCACAGTAGGCCTGCATTCAACAAAGGAATGTTCTAACAGGACTGGACTGTATGAGATAACTACAGCGTCCTTATTTCAGATTATACTTGCAGGTTATACCTGCAGTTTTACATTTGTTTCATGGCTGTTTTGGGGACATTCCTGTGTGAAATTGTGTTGCCATATCTGCCTAATTAAAACACAAGTCATTCCATCTCACAGTAAATTCTGTACAGCTTTGAGACATCCGTCTGACGTGATAAGGGGCTATACCAAATACAAGGATTATTATTATTGTAAAATTAAATACTTGATAGTTGCATTGTTTTAACCTCAAAATGAATCCTTTTTTAAGAACGGGACATTCAATAATATCCATCTTGTGACCTAAATAAATAGATAATAAAAACAACTTTCATTTACTCTGACTGGCAGAGACCAACTTTCTCCCATAGTGCTGTGTAGAGGGAGCTCCCTAGAATAGTTTCTCAGCGCAGTGTATTGCGAATCACAATTTTGCTGTGGGAAAGTATGGAGTGAACACCAGTCACTTGCCTGAAGGGAAAAAGAGGAAGAGGAATTTCAGTGTTAAATCATTTCAAGCTGCTTTTGCATCTAATCGATGTGTATGGACAAGAGTTGATAAAAACCAAAGAGCAGATTTCCAGCCTGGTGTGATGTGCACAGTAATAAGGGGAGGCATATAGTGGGGTCGGGGGGTGAGGAAGCTTACCTCAGGAGTCAAAATACTGTAGCATATGTACGCAAATATGTGGTGAACTGTTCTTAATACTTCTACTCATAAGGCCTAAGCTTTTTAGGTTAAGGTTGTTCTGTTAGTTTGTGCCCTTCTAACATATCATTGTTATAGTCTCAAAGCTTTTTAGAAAATTTCAGCTACACTATTTTAATCCCAGATATGGGCATGTAATCATAAATTTAAGTGACAGATGCCCTAAGAATCTCTGCGGGATACCAGTTCAGCATGTTAGACAGAGCACTTCCTTTTTGTGCTGGTTTGATAATGGCATTTCTGCACGCACTTAGCAATAATTAGGCTCGTCGTCAATACATTGCATCAGTTTTATTACCCTGTCCAATATGTGATCCTGGCAATACTCATGATATTTGAAGACATGCCTTTTGTTGATTAAACAAAAAAAACTGTACAATACATTTTTATGAAATTGTCAAATATCTTTGACTTAATTTCTATATGCAATACTCTCACCCCATGTATATTTTGGAGTTTAGTTTCTAAATATTTTTGAACTCAGAAATGTATTTGGGTAATTTTTTATATGAAATTCATCCAATGAGCAAACAGTGTCATTTTTATTCAGTGTAGATGTAGATTATATAAATACTCTATCTTAATGATGAGTGATGTGTTCTGTTTATATTTCATGCCATGTTAACATCCATCATGTTTAGAAATTAAGTTATAAATCCTTGGAGGATTTGTAAAGCCCCAAGTCTATTTAATTTGTAATAGTTTAATTAGCTGAAAGATTGGATATTGCAATGGGTAAGCAAATTTTCCTTAATTTCTGGGACTTGAGTTTGAAATTAGCCACACTGAATGTAGGTTTTAATTCTATCCATAATTAGCTACTTTTGGTGTTGTCGGTCCAATTTCTAATGTTCGAATGACCTCACTGACCAGTGATTCCCCTGCAGTAAATGAGAGGTAGAGAAAGGTATTGGGTTTCTCTGTGATGCTTTCCATGGTCATATATCCTGTCACCAGTCAATATCATAGATAAAAAAATAATATTGGGAAGAGATATCAATGGATTACCAGAGCATGTGGAAGCAAGTGCCTTTAGGAGAATGCACACACATTTTTTTACCATGGAAAGCATCATAGTGAAACCTAATATCTGTTTATTTCTCACTTTGGCAGAAGTTACTGATAGTGATTGTGATGAAAGCCTTCCTGATGGAATTTGTAGTGTCCCTTCTTGTACTCTGGCCAAGGTGAGATAACTTACACCATGGATCAAACCTGAGACCACCCTGGCCTTTATGGTTCAATACAGAATGAAAGGTGTATTTATGAATTAAGAGAGTTATAAAGCAAGTTTTTTTTAGCATTTTTACTTTCTTGCTTTGATGTTGATTAGTTTTCATTTATTGATCAATCTATTCTATAATTTCAAAGTATTATTAATTCAGCACCACCATAGAATGGTAGAACATGTCTTGTTTTGTCATGTTCTTCATGGAGATTTTTCTCTTTATACAAAATGTGCTGTTTTTTGGTTCACTGTAAAGAGTATTTCCCTGCTTCAAAGGACATTATGTTTAATCTCAGAAACTTGTGCAGCACAAGTGTTGGTTATAAGTCACATGATAGATAATTGCCATTGGTGAGTCATATTGTGCACAGATCATATAGCCATCATTCTGCTTTGACTGAAATGCATTTCCTCATTTATTACAGTGAACAGATTGGTCAAAATAGTATGCCTTCCTCCAGCCCTTGCAGCACAGAACCAAGCAATTTGCAAAGCAGATCAGGTAAAGCCTTTTCTGATGATTATTTGTATCATTTTCTTTCTGAACAGCCAAAAATACAGTAGTATGTTTATACTGAATCTGTAACAAGTCTTTTTCTAAAAATATTCATTTTTGTTGAATGTTTGTACTCATTAAAATGTCCAAGTTGGAGATACGTCTGCCACCTTTTGTAATAAATCGGGCCATTCTGGAGGAAGGGAAAGAGCTGTGGCCAGCGGCATGTTCACCTCATAGCAACCACAATTCTTGCTCCTTTGACGATTGCTGGCTTCTTCCTCTTGTCATGCTTGTTAATCTCTTCCTTCCTTTGCTCACTGCAGGTGTTTTTTTTACCAACTAAACATCGAAAAACTGAAGCCACTCTGCTTCAGCCAGTGCCTTATATCTAGCTCTGATTGTATCAACCTCTCCAACTGCTCACCAGCTCATGGAGCTAATGCAAAATCTCAGCATATTGTTTGACTCTCACCGCTCCTTTAGTTGTCACAACCAGTTATTGACAAAGTCCACTTCCCACCATCTGTGCAACATATCTATCCAGATTCTTTCTCCAGTTTCTCCACTTCTGCTGTTACCCTATTTTCTCCCAATTATCTACCATCCTCTCCTACTGAGGCTTCTATCTCCTTTGGGCCACCCCCGATCTTTGTGCTCTTGACCAATTAATGTTTCACTAGATCGCTTCTCAAGAAGTAATTTTAGCTGGTCAGTCAGTCCCACCCTTAATTGTCTGGGAAACTAGTTTAGGCTGCAATGACAGTCCACCCACCAACTGGTTTGCAATGGGCTCAAACTAGGTTTATTTGAAGTTGCAGAGAAGGAAAAATGTGCACTCACCTGTTCCACCAGCCTGCCCGCTCCACTACCAGCAGTTGGATCTTCAGCCGTTTTGCCCCCACCCTCTGGAACTCCATCCCGGAGCCACTTTGCCTTGCACCCTCCCTTGCCTCTTTCAAGGCCCTTCTCTAGACCTTCCTCTGACTGTGTCCCCTTTACATCATCCTATGTCAAATACCATTGCCCAGTGGAAGGTAGCATGTCTCTGGTAACGTGACTCTGTAATAAGCTGCAAGAAATCCCTGAGAGTGGTCTAGATGCCTTGTTCTTTTGTTATGTTGGTCTCTTTTCCTTCGCACCTCCCATATACAGAAGTGCCTAGGAGTTGAACAGTGTCACCTAACTAATATTGCACTTTTATTGGAAGGGGTGGGTAAGGTGTAAATAGAGAATTTTGAGGCTTTGGTTAGTGATAAATTACTGCTGAAATTGAGCTATGATTTTGTTGTCCTCCCAAAGGCCTAGCTTTAAATCTCAAAATCATAAAGATGACTATTAATCTTTGCAATTTATAGGTTTTCAAACATTTCCTGTATAATAAATGGAAGTAGAGCATAAGATTAGTAAACACTGTAGTGGTTGGCTAATACAAATAAATTAGGAGATTAAATATTCAAGTAAAATGGCAACACTGCAGGTTCAGAAATGAAGTGTCCCCCAAAAAAACACATTAAAGAACTTGCCCAGTACCTTAAAGATGCATGACTAATCTGAATGCTTTTGAATGATTATTTCTGTGAAAGACTTGTTTATAATTTGGAGTTTATGTGCAACTATTATGAAATTAATGAGAATAGCTGCAGAATATTGAAACAGTGTTTCATCCTCGCAGGCCTCACTAAAATGAAGTTGGTTGTGGCTCGAGCTAAATGTTAATGCTATAAGATCACTCTTTCGTTTGTTAATTTTCTGTTACAAAAAAAATCTATGTTCAAAGTTCCCTTGGTAATCTTAATGATTAATTACAATTGCTTCAAAATAGAATCTTTCATGTAGCCTTTCAAGTGATGACTTTTTCATAAGATTTAAATGAACACTTCAGAAACCGGATGAAACTTGAAACAAATTCCACCCATTGAATGTTTATATAAATAATCATGTACCCGAGTATCGAGTATCGGAGTAAGGTACTTAAGATTTTCACAAAGAAAGCATGTAACTAGTTCCATGTGCAGCGCAGCCTGAATTGTTAGTGTTGCTAAGGCTCCAACAGTGATGTGCCAAAAAAAGCAGCCAATCAACCAAGACTGATTATTAACAAGCCATTTCCTGAATCAAACATGCAAAAGCAGTGCGAGCGTGAAATTCTGCAACGTCCTAGCAGTGTAGTTCACACCATTTGCCACCTAAATTTAAACTTTATTCTTGGTCAACTTCAAAGCCCTTCATTGTCTTGCTCCCCCCTACCTCTGCAAACTCCTAACCCCCTACATCCTGTTCGCTCCCTCTGCTCAGTGGGCTCCAGCCTGCTTCACGTCCCCCCGCCTCGCTTGCCCCACTATTGGCGGACGGGCCTTCCTCCACTCTGCCTCCACCCGCTGGAACTCCAAACCGCAGTCCCTCCGCCTCGCCACCTCCCTTGCCACCTTTAAGACCTATCTCAAGACCCTCCTCTTCGACCGTGCTTTCCATCTCCCTGCCTCCCCCCTGCCCTCCACCCTCCCCCACCCCAACCCCCAGCTCGGGTCCATAATTCTGTCCAGCGCCTTGGGTCATCCTCCCGACGTGAAAGGCATTTTACAAATATAATTTTATTGTTGTTGTTTATCATTGTGTAAATTTTCAGAAAGCTGTACCTTATTAGATTTTTTTAATTCTTGTGAAAAATTGTGAGTGTATCATAAACATACTACAAACTATTTTATTGCTGGAATCTCCAGTTTGTAAACTTCATAGGTGCTACTGATTCAGATTTACATAGAATGTTACATCACGCAATTGTGCTGGTCAGCCCAACTAATCCATTTATACTCCATATTAGCATCTACCATTCCAAATCCCTTTCCCCATACAACTTTATTCCCTACTCCTATTTACAATAAACAAGGTAAACAGGATGCTGGGCTATATTGCCAAATCAGTGGAGTTCAGATCCCTAAACATCAATAGTCTGGGCAGTCCGCAGTTCCTGTCTCCACGACATAACAGAGTTAAGACATGTGAGAGAGAGTTGGTGGGGTGTGGGGTGGGGGGGGACGGAGGTGCGAGTGAAGGTAGCGTTTCGTGGTTCACTGTCACGACAGACGATTGGAGCCTCCTCGGCCAGCGCAGGAGGTGCTGAGGACACATGCTGTGCAGTTTCCTCACAGAAAACTCCCTCTTTCCCCAGTGAGAAACTCCTCTATGGCCTTCATCTCCCTTCACCACTCTACCTCTGCGATCTCCTGACCCAGCATTCCCTTTGCCTAGCAAGCACCGGCTTGCTTCATATCCTGCCACTCCATCTGCCCTACTATCATCATTTTGTCTCCACTCTCTGGAGCTCCATTCCCGGAGTCCCTCCGACTCACTCCCTTCCTCATTTTTTTCAAGGTATGTCAAGACCTGACCTTTTGACCACATTTTTAGTCATTTTTCCCCCTCCCCACCTCCCTCAGTTCCCATCCCATTTTGGGTGCCCAGCTGGCAATGTCGAGCGCTTTGAGACATCCTTCCAACGTGAAAAAGGCGCTGTATCTATAATAATACTTGCATTTGATATAGCGCTTTTCACTTCTTCTAGACATCTCAAAGCGCTTCACAGAACATACTGTAAAGTGATTGACTGTATATTTGTGGGCAAAACGCGGCAGCCAATTGCGCCTCAGTGTCCCACAAACAGTTGCGGATTGAAAATGACCAATTTATTATTGTTTTGTAGGGATTATTATTAGGTATGTGGAGTAAGGAAACTTTCCCAAGGTTTCGCCCTGCCTGGAATTGAACCCAGGTGTCTCGTTTGCAAGGGGAGTGCTCTCACCACTGAGCTACAGGACTCCATATAGGAACCTGAGGGGCCATTCAGTCCCTTGAACCTGTTCCACCATTCTATAGGGTGACCAAAAAGTCGTGATACCCTATTATCCAAAAACAATTATAATTTCTTTAAGACTTATTAGACATTGTAATGGATCACAACTTTTTTGGCACCCTATAATGGATCATGGCTCAACTCCAACTTAAAATGTAAATAAACTGTAAATATTGCTATTTTTCTGGAAGTCAAACACGAAAATATTGCTAATGTGGTTTGTGGATGTTTCTCAAATAGAGCATCCGCCCCTCAGCAGCTAAAAGGTTGGACCATTCTGGTGTAAATCTTTGGATCTATTGAAATCTAAAAGTAGATCCTACTCCTAAAAAGTTTGTAGACCACTGATATACACTTTGTCTGTCAATGCATTTTGTGGTATAATACTTGTTACAATGTTTTGACATGATAGTGTATTTTGCATATCTCCTCTGAATGTGTAACTTCAATCTAACTTCAACAGCAAATTGCATATATAAAGCACCTTTCATGTCGGGAGGAGGTCCCAAAGCTCTGAAATTATTTTATTAATTATTTATTGAACTGTTATGGAAATCAAGTCAGAGGATACTAGATGGAAACAGAAGAAAATTTTGTGTCAAGCATGATTTTAGCCTCCGTTTATAAGCAGCAACATAGCAGGGAAGTTGGGTCTTCTTCACAGATGTGATAAACAAATGACCACTGTTACAATAAAGGGCACAAGTGGTTTTCCAAACCTGATTTTTTAACAATTTTTTTTTGTTGAAGATGCTTTCAAACAAATAGCAAACAAAAGCCACAGCCTGCAATTATATAGCAACCTTTATGCAAGATAGCATCTAGGAATGCTGTGTACAGTGATGGGGTTGGATGTTGAGCAAGAGAGAAGGGAAGGGGGAAGTGGATATAGGTACAATCGAAGAAGTACGTCTTGAACAAAACCATGAAGTATGTGAATAGTGAATTGCCTACTAATGTAGTGTACTGTGAGGGTGTAAAATAATCAGTTTTTATTGTGGAAAATATTTTCCAAAATATTTTCCCATGATTTGATTATTCATTTTAAACTGTATTTGCAAACTACTTGAAAGTCTTTGGAATGCAGTCAAATTGATGTGTGTTTTTTATTATTCATTATTTATTAATTTGCACTGAAAAGTGCTAAAGGTAAGATAAAATGGAAAATCTAAATTGAATGCTATGAATGAAATTAAATCCCCCTATTCATATGACTTTGGTGTAGGGTCAAGTAGTGGATCAAGGACATGTGAACGAGAAACTGAAGAAGAAACTCTTTACTGGGATACAAAGATTCAGCCTATACTTCGTGAACTCGAGCCATTAAGCAGTGGTGGGTAGATTTTATTTTATCCCTTCAGCTTTTTCATTCAAAGTACTGCATTTTTTATTTGTAAGTCATTAGTCAATGGCTATTAATAGAATAGTTCATGGAATAGTCAGATGCTGTCTCTCTCCAGTGATTTTGCCACATAGTGAATTTTTCTTTGCGTGGAGGCTTAAAATGATGCTCAAATACTTTCCAACAAGTTATTGGCTGCTCTTGCGCATTATACGTATCATGAAAAATAGACCAGTTTGATCGTGTGAGAGAGCCCAGCATTTCACTGTTTCTCTGGATCTGTGCTTCACTGTAAGCACTGTATTATAACAGCATGTATTTTAAGCATGTGGTAGAGGGCTGAGCAGGAACACCTGGAGGTACATGGATTATGTATGAGGTGATTGGGTGGTATATTGGGATGCTTAAAAATGGATTGAAGGTACTTTGGAGAGGCAGGAAAGGGGATTTTGAAGTGTGTGGGGTAAACAAAGGAGGCATAAGGAAAGGAGATCAGAAACATAGTGGATTGATACAATTTTGTCCCCAAAGAGTTCAAATACTGCCACTATACTTAGGAGGCTTCCTAAGAAAGAGATAAAGGAAGCTGCGTTTGAACTTTCAATTTTAATTAGGAAATATCTCAAAATATTGAGATTAATCTCTGTCCAATATTAATCTGGGATGTTAGGCACTTGTTAAGCAGGTGTCAGCCTAGCTCAGTTGGTATAACTCTTGTTTCTGAGTCAAAAGGTTGTGGGTTCAATCCCCATGTAATTGGAGCTTTGAAATCATAGTTTAGGCTGACACTTCAGTGTAGTGTTGTGCTTCTTTGTTGGAGGTGCCATCCTGGTAACTAAGGCACTATATCAAATGCATTGATTAATATTAAATTATTATTAGGATGTATGAAACTTATTCATATCTTGCATGAAAGACAAGTGTTCAAACAGTTAAACCCATGCTCAAGATGCATGTTTAAGGCTGTCAGGTGAGGATAGGATTGGACTTGGTTTTGAAGCTCTCTGCTGTCAGATCGCCTGCTTACACTCCATGTCAAGGCTCACACATGAATAATGACCACATGGCCAAGAGTACTGATTGCGTGTGGAATCATGCCCTAGTAGAAAGGGTAAAATGGGTAATTTATTTCATGAGAGGAGGAAGTAAATTAGGTGGACCAAAATTCATTATCACCTACAGTTGTGTGTTTTTTTTTAAATGTAAAAGTGTTTTAGGGAACCTCTTGTCTTAATTTATTTTATGGCTGCGAGCTTGCGGGATAGTCAATATTTAGTAATTGAATATAGGTGATATTGTCAAATTCACCATGCTAAGTAAAATGATTTTGATATAAAATACAGGTTGCTCTTTGGAATTAAATATTTTCCTTGATTAGCATCAAAACTATAAAGTATGAAGAGTGAAATGAAACAAGAATTGAACACGTGCAAAATGTCAATCGCTTATCTTATTTTGATTAGACATTGATGTAGAACAACTCTGCAAAACGTGCTACTTGCTCCATTGTACTCTGGAGGAGGGAAATATGCTGGGAAAGATGTGTAAGAGGAGAGGGATCCTTCTGAAAACTCTCTACAAACTGGTGGATATTGGCTCAGATCAACTCTCACTTCAACTAGCTAAACTCATACTATCTGTAAGTTGAAAAAGATAAACTGCAAACATGGTAAATCTGAATAGAATAAAAGGCTGGAAATTTCCAGTAGTTCAATTGGCTTCTGCTATAGAAAACTAAGCTAATGTTTTCGGTATGTCTCTTCTTGATGTAATTTTTTTCAGACATTCTGATTATATGGGGGATAAATCTTTCTAATCTTGAGTTTTTTTGGGTCTTGCTCATTTTAAATTTGTCCTTTGTTTAGGTGCTTTCTTATACCTTCATAATTGATACTGCTCAGCAATTGAAAGAACTGGATTATGTTTCACCCCATTTGCTCTTCTCCAGTTTAGCTGTCCAGCACCTTGGGATGTCCTCCCAACGTGAAAGGCGCTATACAAATGTAATCTTCTTGCTGTTGTAAATTTCTCATAATTTGTAGCCCTTACTCTCCGAAACATCCTTGTCACCCTTCTCTGAACCCTCTTCAACATATCATTGTCTTTAAAAACTCTCACAAAAATTGCCTCCTCTTTCCCCATATCTCCTAATTTCACTGTGCTTACATTCTGATGAGATTGAGTTGTGATCAAATTATAAATAAAAATGTTAAAGTTAAATTGCCCTTAAGCTAATAATGAGTGTTCACTCTTTGTTTATAAGGGTTTTGTTATGAACTGAGTTTTAGCAGTCTTAGCTCTGTGTATGCTGAACATGATCCAGGTCTTTAAAATGCTGAAAGACATGAATATTAAAGGAAATGTCGAAACAGGAGTTTAAAGTAGAAAGCTCCAGTTCGAAAAGCATGTATCAACCCTCACACAGTGGGTAAATGATCTCCTCCTGTGCCATAAATACTGATTGCATTAAAATGGTAGATCTGATATGTTATAGTTGGACAATAATGTCATTTTTGTATTATGTCTAATTTTGGTGGTTTGTTTTCTAGCTTAAAGTCAGTGGCAAAAATCTGCTTAATGTCTGTAAATTGATGTTCAAAGTTAGCAGGACTGAAAACAATGACTCGTTGTTCCAAAATGATGGTATTTTGGGTAAGTGGTATTCCTATTTGAATTCCAAAAGCAATCAAAATAGGTGTCTTGAATAACTACACAATATTATGTAATCTCCCAATACTATTACATGTTAGATTAGTAACACGTTTACAAAATCTTGGGTCCTGTTAATTGTGTTGGATTTTGCCTAACAATGTGGGTTCTGGTTTTCTATCCTCCATTTGATATAGCACTTTTCACGTCAGAAGGATGTCTCAAAGTACTTCATAGGATACACTGTAATGTGTAGTGACTGTACATTTTGCAGGCAAACACGGTAGACATTTTGTCCACTGCAGGTGTTAGCCTAGCTTAGTTCATAGCACTCTTGCCTCTGGATCAGAGAGTTGTGGGTTTAAGACCCACTAGGACCTTGTCTTAGTCTAGTCAAGCGAGTCTGGTCAATGCTGGGGCTGCCTGCATTGTCAGAGGTGCCATCTTCAGATAGATATTAAACCAAGCCCAGTCTGCTTGTTCAGGTGAACCTTAAAGATCCCACGACACCATTCAAAAATAGGTAGGTTTCTCCAATGCCTTGGCCAATAATTCCTCACCAACAATTGATTATTTTTGTCCTCGGTCCCCTCCTTGGTGACCTTGGTGACATGATCTGCAAACTTCCACATGTATGCGGATGACACCCAACTCTATCTCTCTGCCTCCACCCTTGATTCCAGGGCAACTGATATCCTGGCAGACTGTCTGTCAGACATCAAGCCCTGGATGAGAACCAACTTTCTACAACTGAATGTCAGCAAGGCCGAGGCTACAGAAACTCCTCGTCGCCCTCTTTTTCGACCGTGCCAACAACCGCTCCTACATCTCTGCTCTCCTTCAACCCAGCCCTGCCTCCCCACGCTTGGGTCCTGAACCCCGACTGTTCAGCACCTTAGGACGTCCTCCCAATGTGAAAGGCGCTTTACAAATTTAATTTTGTTGTTGTTATATTCACTTCATGGCTGTTTGTGTTCAAATTGGCTTCCAGGTTCACCTACAAATTCAGTCACTTCACTGTAACAGCAACTATTTGTACCTTGGCTCTTGAGACATTTCGAATGCAAGGATTATTCATATTAATTATATAATTCACAAGTGCAAAATAGTATTTTGCCATATTGCAATGCCATCTGCTGGTACTAAGAGCAATATGTATCTACGTGTTAAATAGAACACTCACCTAATAATGGATAATTTTCTTCATGTGAGAGATCTCTAACTCCCTCTTGCTTGCAATGGTCCATGTAATCAGTTAATAATATAATGAGATTCTGTGGACTATTACTGGTATTTTCTGTGGATATGTGATATGTATGCTAACAGTCTCATATCATAGAATTGGAGTAGAGGCTTAATTGAAGAGGACTGTGCCGACCAAACATACCACTAGTAGTTGGGGACTAAATTAATGCATCCACAATTGTTGGTTTGTAATCACTGGCAAGATGTTAAGTTCTAATTATAAAGTGGTGCTTTTTAAATGGTCTCACATGCAATATTTTTGTGAGTAGAAATTCTTATAATAAAAATTTTCAGAATAATAAATACATATATACACTTTTTCTAACTACAGAGGTTGCAGATTAGATAGATTTAGAAAATGCAGATACCTGTAGAATGTTTATTGAAACTTTGACAACAAATTAAATATGAATAGGAAGCAGGGATAAGTTATTAAATTCCTAAAATTTGATAATTTTGCTGTTTGAAGTAAATGTCTTTCTAAAAGAGTATATTGTTTGCAGATTGTTTGCTGGATGTCTTCAGTGGCCCAGACCCACTTGGCAACATTGATGCTCTTTTATATTGTATGGGAACAATTAAATTCCTTTCTGGGAATATGGCTTTGCTCAAGAACCTGCTCAATAAAGGTTTAGTTGAGACTTTGGTACAATTGACAAAGCAGATCAATGATGCCAACAAAGAAAGTGACACATATTTCTCCAGCTCAGGACATTTATTGGTCCAGGTTAGTATCATTGTAATAAGCTCATTATTTATATGTATTTTATAGCTAGTACCAATATATTTCATAATATAAATCCGCCACAATCTTTAGCACATGCTTCACACTTCATTTGTTTTATTAAAAATCATCAAAAATATTCCATATCCTCTTATGACATCTATGATCAGTTATTGTCTTAACATTGTCTACTTTCATTTTCTAGGTTGACCCTCTTTTACATTTGAACCATGATGAATGTGTAGTTACTTGTGTTCAAAGCTTTACTAACTTATGGGCATGTGGCACTCGTGAACGCTCGTTTTGTAATGCTTCTAGTAACGTACTGTTGTCTGTTTAACATATTTATGGGATGATTGGAAAAACTGGGTATGCTGCATTTGATAATGTTTAACTAAAGATCGAGACAAGTGTTTGGAATAGTACAGTAAACTACAGTAAAACTTTTCAAACCTGTTTCTTTTTCATATATAGTCAAACAACTCAAGGAACTTGGGCCAAAGTGGCCTTTATACAAGGCTGCCCTCTGAGTAAGGTTTCATTGGTGTTCGAGTAGGCTGTTCCAGTGTGATTATTAACAGGGTGGGGTGACCCGTAGCTGAACAGAGCTGATTACTTGAATAGGTTTGACTATAATTGCTACAAAGAGCATACTGCTAAATGTTCCAGAACAAACTGAGAACATGTTGCAAAGCTCTTGTATAACATTTTTTTTCACTCTTGAGAAAATTACATGAAGGGCCAAAGGAACCTTGAGATAGTGAATCTGCCTGCTAATAGCGTGGCAGTGTAAATGCAGGGAGTGCAAATTGATCACTAAAATCGAAACCCTCAAAAACTACAGTGGACTAGTTCTCTAATAACATTAAAAGAAACTAATGCGGGATTGACACTGGTTTTGCATATGTGCTTAGCTGTACAAACTTAGAACTCTGTTCAGCCCCTGTCACGTGCAGTTTTGGAGTGGGAATTATAAATGGTGTCCTCCAAATCGCTTTACTGTTTAAAACAATTTCAAGTTGCTTCCAGCTATATAATTGAGGCATAATTACATATACTATTAGAACCTTACCTATACTATAGGAGTCCTATAGCTCAGTGGTTAGAGCACTCACAAGTGAGATACCTGGGTTCAATTCCCTGCTGGGCGAAACCTTAGGCAAGTTTCCTTACTCCACATGCCAGATAATAATCCCTCAGGAAAAAAAAACAATAATAATTTGGTCACTCAATCCACGACTGTTTGTGGGACACTGCTGTGCACAATCAGCTGCCGCATTTCGCCCACAAAATATACTATCAATTATTTTACAGTATATTCTGTGAAGCGCTTTGAGAAGTCTAGGAGACGTGAAAAACACTGTATCAAATGCAAGGATTATTATTTTATTTATGTTATGCTATGGGAATTTTTCACATTGTGGCCAACACTGAAAACTGAAAATAGTGTCTGTTTGATTCAGCTATTTTGTTTAAAACAAACTCTTACGTTCAGTTTTCAATTTTGAGCAAGTACTTTTTTGTAGTATTTGACTAATGTCACTCAATCTAAAATTTCAATAAAGGTTAAACAATTACCTATTATTTGGTGCAAGAACATTTAGTTTTGATTCAAAGGTACCTTGGAGAGTTCAATAGTTTTATTATCCAAAATAGAGAAGTGCTGGACATTCACAGCATTGGAAAGAGAAACATAAAATTGGAAACATACTTTGTGGAGCTGGATAGAATTACTAAGAGAGATCATCACTCTATCAATTTGAAATGCTAGTGGTTGGACAGTTGAGGCAAGAATTCACATTCTTTCCATTAGTCCTAATGAATCATCTAAAGTTTACTCATAAGTTCAGTAAAAATTGGCAAAATAGTTTGGCGCTGATATTGCAACACTTACATGTTTCTTTCCAGGTGAGTGTATAGAAAATTATTGGATTTCTAGGTGTCCATTACAAGTCTGTATTTTGTGATGACGCCTCTGTCTTGCTGATTAAATGTTTTTAGTTTAGTACTGCTTGTACTGGTGATGATATTAGTTATTTTTAATGTCTAGGTGAATATGTTGTGTAATATGTTATTGAAATGTTGCTATACTCTTTGTTGTATGCATTCCAATTTTCTTTTTTAATCTTCTGAAACGAATCGGCCGATACCAGATATGAGTGATGTTGCAAATAGTTGATAGATTCATAGTTTCAGTTCATAGTGTCAGCCTAATTCTATTTTAGCTTGTTGGGATCAACAACATTTAAGATGGTCAAAGTAAAGTATTTCTCTTTTTTGCAATCAATAATGCATTGACACCAGTTGCTATTCAACAATATGATAAGGCGATATATCAAATACAAGGATTATTATTATTGTTGTTTACATTAGAATAGTGTTCATTTATACAGGATTTTAATTTGCAGTAAGCTTCTTCTGCCTAAAATGACAGGTTCTATCTTGTATGAAATTATTCCGCAGATTTGTCCTAAATTTACTCCCTTTCAATTGCACTTGTTCTCTTACGATTTCTGCTTCCCAAGTATCTGCTTCTTGAATTCCTTAAATTCTCATCCACATTTTTTTCTGGGGCAGTGCATTCCAAAATGTTATCACTCTGCTAAAATAAATGAATTCTTGCTCCTTCAGTCGAAATCCATAAGTAACTAATATTCACCTACTGAAAAAATACCCAAGAACTTCATCTTTAACAACAACAGCTCGCATTTATATAGCGCCCATCACAATGGGTAGTGTCTGGGAGCCCTATTATGTCCTATGAAACATTTTGAGACATCCTCCCAATGTGAAAGGTGCTGTATATCAAATGTAAGTATATTAAGATAATTAATAATAAACCATGATAATGGCTTCAATGTTATGGTCCAGCTTAGATAAATAAAGATGGTCGAAGAGTTTCAGTTTTGCTTGAAAAAAACAGCAGATGGTGCTCCTGCTGTGTAACAACTCGTTTAAAAACATTTTAAAGTAAAACCTTTGAATCGGCTGCTATAATCCTGCCAATTGCCACCTTTCTATGTGAACTTGCCTGTAACTGCATGTTAATTGCAATCCCATATAATGCTGTTCTTAAAAGGTGTTGATGTTCCGAGTGGGGGAAATGTCAGATGTAAACTTGTAGCATACCATTGTGTGGTGTACCATGTTTATATTTAGTGCAGTCTTTTGCATCTGCAGTCATGTAAACACTTTTCACGCTTTTCAAATGTCATACTTCAGTTTGCCTTTGTTTACTGCAAGTTTTTGGAACACTTTGACTGCGTCAACTGAACGTGGCATCAATTTAAATTTGAGTTTTTTTTTACTTTGGAATTTTTTTGTAAACTGTAATGATAGCCTTAAAAATAAGGACCTTAAAATAAAATCTATATATACACTGAAATAAATACTTGAGATGAGAAGGATTTAGTGTATTTAATAGATGCAATGGGGAGCACTAGGATACCCAGAACTAATATGTAAAACAAATTACCCTTATTTGAGTCAATATTCTTATGATTTCCTTTCCTGTAGAAAGTGCATGATCACAAGCTTGTTATGAATAAAATCACAGGTATAAACTTGTGTCCTGAGACTTAGGTATCACCTTGGTTCAGTTGTTAGCTCTCTTTCCATTGAGTTATAAGATTACATAACTCAATTATATAACCCAAAAGCCGCTGAAACCCTGGTCCATGCCTTTGTCACCTCTCGGCTGGACTATTCAAATGCCCTCCTCGCCGGTCTCCCATCCACTACCATCCATAAAATCCAAATCATTCAAAACTCTACCGCCCGCATTCTCACCCGCACCAAACTCCACTCCCCGATCACCCCAGTCCTCACCAGACTGCACTGACTGCCTGTCCCAGAGAGGATCGATTTCAAGATCCTCACCCTTGTATTCAAGTCCCTGCACTCCTCTGCACCCCCCTACCTCTCTGACCTCCTCTCCCCTCAAAACACTACCCGTTGCCTTTGTTCCTCCGGGTTTGGCCTCCTCCTCATCCCCCAAGTCCTCTGCTCCACCCTCGGTGGCCATGCCTTCAGCCACTATGCCCTGAGGCTCTGGAACTGCTTTCCTCACTCCCTTCATCTCACTCCCTCTCTTCCTATTTTCAGGTGTCTGCTGAAGACTTTTCTTTTCGACGATGCCTTTGATCACCTTCCTACCCCTGGCTCGGTCCTGGGATCCATTACTGTGAAGCGCTCTGAAACGCCATTCTAGAGCACATGTCCACTTATAACATAGTTGTCAACTGGACTCTGTTACCAATTTTGGCCTCCTGCGCAGAGTGGCCAGCTTCCTGTGCACAGCATTGCAGGAAGCCAGCTGGTCGGCCTTGACCGCTCTCGTAAGTGGTTTTAGTGCTAGAAACATTTTTGATAGCAGTTAAGGCTGTTCTGCTGGCTTCCTGCTTGCTGCACACACGCTGCACGCTGGAAGCCAGCCAGGCTACGCAGTGAAACGGAAATAACGTCAGCAGTGGCGTTACTCTCAGAATTAGAGAAACAATCATTTTTTTCACTGACTGTTTATATCAGTAATAATAATAATAATAATCCTTGCATTTGATATAGCGCTTTTCTCGTCGGGAGGAAGTCCCAAAGCGCTTCACAGAACACACTGTAAAGTGAATTGACGGTATATTTGTGGGCGAACGCGGCAGCCAATTGCGCACAGCAATGTCCCACAAACAGTCGTAGATTGAAAATGACCAATTTATTATTGTTTCGTTTTTGGAGGGATTATTATTAGGCTCTGTGTGGAGTAAGGAAACTTGCCCAAGGTTTCGCCCTGTGCCTGGAATTGAATTCAGGTCTCTCGCTTGCAAAGCGAGTGCTCTAACCACTGAGCTACAGGACTTCAAAACCTCTGCATAAACTTTTGCATGCACGCTCTCGCGCAGTCTCTCTCTTTCGCACACTGTCTCTTGCGAACATTCTCTCATGCAGTATTTCTATCTTCAGCGTACTCTCTCTCGAGCTCACACTCTCTCACATGCACACTTTCACGTATTCTCTCTCTTGCGCGCACTCTATCGCGCATAATCTCTCACGTGAACCCTCTAATGCACAGACTCTTGCAAGCACACTCTCGCGCAGTCTTTCTCTATTCGGGGTACACTCTTTCGAGTGTCTCGAGCACACTCTCTCGCAAAAAATCTCTTGTGCAGTCTTTGTCCCTTCGGCGTACTCTCTCTCGAGCTCACGCTCTCTCACGTACACTCTCTCTTCAGCACACTATGTCGCACACAATCTCTCGCACACACTCTCTCACCCAGTCTCTCCTTCTTTAGCGCACCCTCTCTCGCAGACTTTCTCTCTTCTGCACACGCTTTTTCGAGCTCACACTCTCTCATGCGCACACTCTTGTGTGCACCCTCACTCGAACGCTCACTCGGGCGCACACACTCCTGCATGCACAACACTCCTCTTCGGCGTACACACTCTCAAACTCACATTCTCTTGCGTGCACTCTTATCATACGCACTGGGTCACGAACACTGTCTTGTGTGCACACTGTCTTGCACGCTCACTCTCTTGTGCGCATTCTCTTGCACACAAAACTCTCATGCGCACACTCTCACGCAATGACTCATTTGTGCATTTTCTCTCTTGCACGCACATTCTCTTGCGTGCATACTGTTGCGCAGTCTCTCCTTGGGGCACTATTTGTCTCGCGCAGTCTCTTCGGCGCACGGTTTGTAACGCGCAATTTCTCACGTGCACTCTCTCATGCAAGCAATCTCCTACGCGCACACGTTCGCATATGTGCACACTCTCGCGCAGTCTTTTTCTGTTCAGCGTACAAGAGCTCACATTCTCTTGCGTGCACTGTCATGCGGGCACTCTTACACGCACACTCTCACACAGTCTCTGTTCAGCACACACTCTCATGCACACATTCTCACACAGTCTCTCGCGCACACACTCTCGTGAATACTCTCATGCATTCTCTCGCACAAACACTCTCACGCACACACTCTTTTGGCACCCACAAGGTGTCAAGTTGGCTCTCCCCGGCTCGGCATCGGGCTCCACCATTGTTAAGCGCTCTGGGACACCGCCTGGTATGGAGGGCACTGTATAAATACAAGTTGTCGTTGTTAATTGTATGAACCCCAAACACTGTTATATCAGCAATGTTCTGTATATGAAAAGAAAAGGGGATTCTCCCAATGTTCTCGCACACAATCCTCGAGACTTGATTATTCATTCATCTTGTAGATGTTTCACAAGATGGCAACATATTTGCCAACAAAAACAGTCACTGTTGCCATAACCAGTGTAATAATAATCCTGCATTTGCTATAGCACCTTATCACATTATTGAGACATCTCAAAGCTCTTCAGAGGATATATTGTAAAGTGGATTGACTGTATTTTGTGGACAAAACAGCATAAAGCACTTTGGGACAATATGCCATATAAGCTACTATAAAGATGCAATATCTCATTATAGTCTTTTGCTTTAAATAGCATTTTAATGTTACACAAGGAAACTGGTGTAACAACCGGAAAGTGTCTGAGTAATTACTCCTGCAGTTGAGAGAGAGGGTTAATCTGGGCAATGAAGCTTGTGGTGCCTACTGAAGGTGTTGCTTCTTGATCACCTAACACAAGGTTCTGTGTGACAAGTTACTTGTTTACAGTTGCTCACACTAACATGGAGCACTGAAGCTGATGGCATCACTAAAAGTGAGTGAAGTACACCCATTAGGGGCAGTCAGCTCAAGTTTAGTTGTGGTTAGACTTTACGTAGGAGGCAAATATTCAAATATGCATATTTGAAATGAGAAATGAGAATTGGATGGTTTGCAAAGGGCGAGTACTAATACTCTGACCTTATGCTAAACATTGAGAAAATCACTTCATTTCTATTGATCAAGAGAGCTCCAAGTTGATCGGTTTACTATGGAGCTAAATTACTTTCTGGATCGCAGGCTACTGGAACTGAGATGTTGTATTGGCATACTAGTTTGGTAGGTTCCTTAGCATCTTACTTTTGTGTTCTTGAAAAATTGCCTTTAATTTATTTTTAAGGGTTGCCAAAGTTTAAATTTCCTCAATAGTTTTGTGGTATGCTGTAGCCTATCTCCTAGAGATTGTTCTTTTTTTTGGAAGAGAATTATAAGGTATGATTAATCAGTATAAATTATAAAAAGGATAGAGATCATTGACATGAAAACAAATACTATTTTTTTTAAAAATGGTTACAGCAGAGTTTTAGTCTGTATAAGGCTCTATATAAAAGCATATTTCATTCATTAAATATGCCATGTTTAAAGAAAATGTATTGCATAACATACATTAAATGCATATAAATGCATTACACAGATGTATTTAAATGCGCTGCATAAATGCATTATATACTTATTAATAGCATATTTTACAGCATAGTTTTTTTAAATAGTCTACTGAAAATGTACCATTTAAAAAAATTTACAAAAATTTAAATTTGAAAGTATGGTATTTTTTGCAGCTTGACAATTTAGGAAATAATCATCATTTTTTGAATGGTTTGCATTTTCTTTCTTGAAGGTCACTGCTACCCTGCGGAACTTGGCAGATCTACCTCAGTCTCGATCCAGATTCTTGAGCACTGGAGCTTTGCTGGAATTATGTGTGGTACTGGAACAACACATAAATGACAAAGATGTCTGTACAAATGTAGCCAGAATATTCAGGTAAAAGGAAACGAGCAACTGGCAAAAATCTTCAAATAATCAAACTGAAGCATGAAATATTCGGTTCCATTTTCTTCAGTTTTCCTTTATAGTCCAAGGAAAACAGAGCTAACTGTTGTCTACATTAGTAACAACATATTTTATTCTGAGTACAAACATTTAAAAAAAAACGTTTGAGGAACATTCGTAAGCCTGAATCATATTTCAACTGGATCTGAATTGATACTTGAATCAATTTAATAGTATTTAATTTACTAAGGGCCTTGTTTAAAGTATAGAAACTTAATTCTAGCCTCCAAATGAAGTACTTTTCTGTAAAAGAGAATGATAGTTTTCAAATTCCCAAAGGTTTGTAATCTCAAGCATGCTGCTGCAGGGAGACCAGACACTCCAGTGTCTAAATCACCAGTCATTCTTATGGACTGTCACTGGGCATCTATGAAACAGCATTGATGAAAGCATGGTAGCTGGTTTACATCTAATCATTTTGGCCAGGGAACAAGCTGACGGTGTGGCATGGGAAGATTTGAGCAGAGGAAAAGAAAAATACAAAATATTATAAATACATTTTTAGCATAATGTGAGCTTTTACAAAAATGCATGTTGTAATGTTAAATTTGTATAATTTCAGAAAGGGGGTTGCTGAGCACTGTGTACTGTGAGAGTTTAAATCTGTCCCAATGATACTTTCTGCACATGTACTGGAGTAACCAAAATTTACATTCAACTTGGTATTTTTCTGTTTTTCCTTCTTCAGTTAAATGCAAAAATAGATATGTTTGAAATGACCATTCTTTAAACCTCTTCCTTTACAGATTTCAAGATCAATTATTTAGTGCTACTTTACAGTTTTTCTTTGTGAAGCAGAAAGGAAACAACTAACATAATTCAACAATGCTAAAAATTAAATAGTAATACTAAATAGTACTATAGATAAGATTAGAAGTGGGGAGTATAAAGCATGTGTCATGTCATCCTCTTATAAAAGGGAAACTGATATTACTTTAGCAAATCAAAAAAATTGTGTCCAGCTTTTTCAAGGTCTAAATTAGAAAGTCTGATTGTAGTCAGCCCAAAGTGTAGCATCCAGCACATGCAGTACTGTCTATATTCATATCATGATGGGCGTTTTGCCCACAAAATACAGTCAATCCACTTAAAGTATATCCTATGAAGCGCATTGAGGTGCCTCAATGACGTGATAAGATGCTATACCAAATACAAGGTTTCATTTTATGGGCCACTGGCACCAGTATTGGGGGAAAAGGGGTCTATTTCAAAAAGATGGGCTCCACTTAAATCAGGCTGGGACAAATGTCCTAGTAAACCGAATACATAGGGAGGTAAATAAAGCTTTAAACTAGTAAAGTGGGTGGGGGGGATACAACTAGAAATAATCGCAAGCCAGCAATATTAAAAAAACTAAAGGTGGCAGAACAGAATAGCGAGGGAGATAAACAGAATAGGTCAAAGAGGGGTAAGAAGCTCAGTAAAGAAGATAGGGCATCAGACAGTAGGGGAAATGGTAGGAAATTAAAATTGTTATATCTGAATGCACGAAGCATTCGGAATCAGATAGATGAATTAAAGGCACAGATAGATCTAGTAGCCATTACTGAGACATGGTTACATGGAGATCCAGGGTGAGAGTTAAATATTCCAGGGTTTTCAGCTTATAGGAAGGATAGACAATGTGGAAAACGAGGTGGGGGGGTAGCCTTGTTAATAAAGGGTGGAATAAAAACAGAAGAGAGGAAGGATTTCAAATCAGATAACCAAGATGTAGAGACGGTATGGGTAGAATTACGAAATAATAAGGAGCAGAAAACATTAGTGGGAGTAGTTTATAGACCCCCAAACAGTGATCACAGCATAGCGCAGGGTATTAATCAAGAAATTAGAGAAGCAAGTAGCAAAGGTAATACAGTAATAGTGGGTGATTTCAATCTTCACATAGATTGGGAAAACCAAATCGGCAAAAGTAGGGTAGAGGAGGAGTTTATAGAATGTATAAGAGATAGCTTTCTGGAGCAGTAGCTGAGGAACCAACTAGGGACAGGCGTAACGAAACAGGGCTAGTCGGTAATATAGATATTAAGGCTCTAGGGCAGAGTGATCATAACATGGTAGAATTTAGTATTAAGTTAGAGAGCGATGTAGTCAAATCCGAAGCAAGAGTCTTAAATTTAAATAAAGCTAACTTTGCAGGTATGAGCGATGAATTAGCTAAAATAGACCGGGGAATTAGATTAATGGATATGACAATAGACCAACAGTGGCAAACGTTTAAAGATGTAGTGCATAATTCTCAGCGGTCACATATTCCCTTGAGGAATAAGAGTACCACAGGGAAAACAGTTCATCCGAAGCTAACTAGAGCAGTTAGAGAAAGTATAAAACTAAAAACAAAGACCTATAAAACTGCCAAAAAGAGTAGCAAACCTGAGGACTGGGAGTGTTTTAGGGACCAAAAAAGGAAAACCAAAAAGCTCATTAAGAGTGAGAAAATGGATTATGAGGGCAAGCTAGGATCATTACGACAGATTGTAAGAGTTTTTATAAATACAATAAGAGGAATAGGCTAGCAAAAGTAAGTGTGGGTCCATTATAATAATAATAATAATAATAATAATCCTTGCATTTGATATAGCGCTTTTCACGTCGGGAGGACGTCCCAAAGCGCTTCACAGAACACACTGTAAAGTGAATTGACTGTATATTTGTGGGCGAACGCGGCAGCCAATTGCGCACAGCAATGTCCCACAAACAGTCGTAGATTGAAAAGAACCAATTTATTATTGTTTTTGGTTTTGGAGGGATTATTATTAGGCTCCGTGTGGAGTAAGGAAACTCCAAGGTTTCGCCCTCTGCCTGGAATTGAACTCAGGTCTCTCGCTTGCAAAGCGAGTGCTCTAACCACTGAGCTACAGGACTCCATTACAGGCAGAGACAGGAGGAATTATAATGGGGGATAAGGATATGGCAGAATCCCTAAGTAAATACTTTGCTTCTGTCTTCACGTTAGAAGACACAAGATGTTTACCAGAAATAGAGATGAACCAAGGAGCTAATGATAGGGAGCAACTTAGGGAAATTTACATTCGCAAAGAATTCGCGCTAGAGAAATTGTTGGCATTAAAAAGTGACAAGTCCCCTGGACCTGATGGTTTGTATCCTAGGGTTTTAAAAGAGGTAGCTCATGAGACAGTGGAGGCCTTGTGTTTGATCTTCCAAAATTCTTTGGAGTCTGGAACAGTTTCCATTGATTGGAAGATCGCAAACGTCACACCACTATTTAAGAAGGATGGGAGAGAAGCGATGGGGAACTATAGACCATCTGTCTGACATCGGTGGTAGGAAAAATTCTAGAATCCTTAATTAAGGATGTCGTAGTGGGATACTTAGAGGATCACAATATGATTAGACAGAGTCAACATGGCTTTACAAAAGGGAAGTCATGCTTAACAAATCTTTTAGATTTTTTTGAGGCAGGCTAACGGTATGTTGGCATTTGTTACAAAAGGGTTAGAATATAAGAGTAGGGAAGTCTTACTGCAACTGTATAGGGCCCTGGTGAGACCGCACCTAGAGTATTGTGTGCAGTTTTGGTCTTCTTATTTAAGAAAGGATGTACTCGCTTTGGAGGGGGTACAACGTAGATTCACTTGGTTGGTACCAGGGATGAGGGGGATGAATTATGAGGATAAGTTGAGCAATTTAAGCCTATATTCTTTAAAATATAGAAGAATGAGAGGTGATCTTATGGAAACCTATAAGATTATTAAGGGGCACGATAGAATAGATAGTGGGAGACTTTTTTCCCTGTTTGGAGAAACTATAACCAGGGGTCACAGTCGTAAAATTAGGGGTAAGCCCTTTCGCACTGAGTTAAGGAAAAACTTCTTCACTCAGAGGGTAGTGAATTTATGGAATTCTCTACCCCAAAGGGCTGTAGATGCTCAGTCCTTGAACATATTCAAGACTGAGATTGATAGATTTCTTGTAGATAAAGGGATTAAGGGATATGGGAATAAGGCGGGTAGGTGGAGTTAGAATAGATCAGCCATGATCTTAATAAATGGCAGGGCAGGCTAGAGGGGCCGAATGGCCTACTCCTGCTCCTAATTCTTATGTTCTTATGTTCTAAGGATTATTATTACTTTCACAAGAAACCTGAAAATCCACCCAGCCTTAATCTGCAAAACCATTTTGTCTCAAAATGTAAGATTGTACAAAATTGGGCAAAATTCTGAAATTCAGTCTTGATTTCAAAGCTGGTTCTTTTTAAGACCCACAGAAAGTTGGCTTCCAAATTAAGCATAAATTAAATCATTATAAATATGGGAATTTATGAGGGGCTCAGCAATTAAATCTTTAAAATTTCAGCTAGTTTCACAGTTTCTGATAAGATTATGGAATTTAATAATGCTGTGGAAATTAGGAGAACTACGATCCGGTAAGGGTGATTTTATTTTAAAGTAATGTGCTCTTACCTCATTTAAAAAGGTACAAAATACTTTCCCCCATAATTCTGCTGTAGGCCTCTTCACTTGAACCATTTGAGTCAAAAATAAATTAGGTGCAGTGAGACAAGATGTGAGTCACTGCATTACTGGAAATAATTGGTGATGGTTTAATTTTTGTTTTAACTGTTGCCTGCGCTATTTTTGTTTTTCCTCGGTAGATTTAAAGTAATAATTAACTTACATCAGCTATTTAGCAATTTACTGAACAACTGTATGTCCCCATATGGTTGTAACTTTAAGAGGTTTGGTTCTGGTAAGTCCAGTTGCTTTTATTTTGTTTCTGACTAATGAGGAATAAGCATTGAGGCGTTGTTAAGAGTTTGTTGTTGTCATAACAAAGGTTGTTTAGACAAAAGATCAAACCTTTCAAGAACTTGTTCTTTATACAATTCAACTTTTTAATTTTCCTCATTTTCTCTCTCACTGCTACTCTACCAAAGGATACACGTATTTTATTTCTAAATTATTTAGATTATTCTAACTTTTCTGTTAGATCTTCTATGAACAGCCTCGTAGACTTTTACTATCAATTAGGGTCTTTCACTCCGAAAAGATCTATTGTATGTGTAGAGTATTACAGAAAGTGGATGTGAGAAACTCATTGATGTTAGCATCTAAATAATTCACTTTATTTTTCTCTGATTTACAGCAAGCTGTCAGTTTACAATGACTGCTGCTGTGCATTGTCTGAATGCTCCAGCTGTTACCAGTTATTTTTGGTTATTCTTCAGAGGCACCGAAAGAAGCAGGTCAGTTTTACCTGAAAATACTAGAAAAAAAATTACATTTTAAAATGCCTGTTATTAGATTGTAGTAATTTTAAAGTCTTTGTTCAAAAATGGTCTCCTGCCTGCCATTGAACTGCCAGACCAGGAATTTCATGTTGTTACAAACAAAGGCCTTTTCTGTGCTGATGCATTCTATGACGCCATGTAAGCAAGTGATTACAAATTGAAAAGATGAAGTTCATTCTGAATGGATTTTTGAAAAAAGAGCCATTATGTAATTCAGCATATCGCTGAAACCCCAAGAATATTCTGCTGCCATCTTTTCTACTCATAGAAATCTATAATAATAATAAAGTAATAATCTTTACACTTGATATAGCTTCTGCTGCGTCATGTAGACGTCTACGGTTTCATTTAAGATATTTTTCAAAGAATTGTTTGTCAAATTTGAAAATGCTTTAATGCAATCAAAGTTCACAGTTCCACAATATTTTTTTTCTCCATTCTTAGGATATAGTTGTTCGTGTTGTTTTTACTTTGGGAAACATGACTGCAAAGAACAATGTAGCAAGAGAGGAATTTTACAAGCTGGAACACAGTGTGGACACTTTGTTGTCTGTGTTTCAAATATATCACGAGCTAGATATTAAAGCAAAAAGCACCTTACAGAAAATGCAGAGGAAACGTGAAATGGATGAATGCAAGAACCAGAAGCCCTCTGAAGTCGGTGATGTCTTAATAAAGCTGATGAGAGTAATTGCTAATTTATCCATACACACTGAAATAGGCTCTGCACTGGCTTTAAACCAAGACTGCATGGATCTGCTTATTAAAGTATTAGGTTAGTACAGTATGCACTATGCTTCTAACTGGATTAAATTCACAGTTCATTCACATTATGGACATAATGCACTATTTGTAAAAAAAAACAATGTGTGGTTATGTTATACTTTAAATACTTCTTCAAAATAACATTGTGGGATTAATTCTGGTGCACCCATTCCCTCTTGTGAAAGTGAGATGGTTTGTTATACAGTAGAAAGAACATAGTCTCTAATGAGTTACTCTTAAACACTGAGCTTCTGTTCCAAATTATCGTATGTTACAAGGAGAATGAACAATGGCTGCTCATGCATTACAAGGTTGTAACACGCTGAAAAGATTTGGAATGTGTTTACTTGAATGGCTTATAGTCACGTGAACCCTTGAGTTTGATCCAGCTTTGAATACAGCATTGTTAATTTTTATAACGTATACATTTTAGCTTTTGTTGCAATTTCTGAGCTTTCCCTTGGAGTTTGTCTGACTTGGTATCTTTCTTTATTTTCACTAGCCAGCACCATTTTAGTCACTAAGTGTTTCTTTGCAGTTCCATGTAATTTAATCAATAGAGGGGTTGTTCTGCAATAATAGCACAATAAACTAGGGGTACAATGAATCTGCTAGTACAGTTGTGGCAGTTGACTGGGGGGACTGGTTTTCAGAGAGAGCGTTGCTGTGTGTATTATAAACCATTTGTTAGTCATTTAACAAAGAAAATACAAAAAAAAACTATTTTTTCAGTTGCTTCTATTTTTGCCCCTCTAGAAGTTGTAATTTTCTTTCTTTTTAAATAATTCCCATATCATTTGGGCCATCAGGACATAACTTGTTTTAGTCAGGTCGGAGTTTGGCACACATGCTGATCCACTGCTATGCTTAAGAGTATCCTGTTCCAGTTTCTGTTTGGCAATCTGAAGTGTGCGTACCTGAGTGGTTCGGACAACAGAAGTGAGGATTGGCAGAATCCTCCTAGCAATAGGGACCACAAAGTGCCTATTAGGATAGGGCTGGAATTTAAACAGCTACATCTGAAAAACCTACCTATACTCTACAGCTGACTAATTTAAGCCACTGTACCGCTAATCAATGTAAGGCACTGCAGAGCATTAAAATATTATTCCTCATTCACTAACAAAAAGCCCACTTTAGATGCAAGAAGACTTCCTCTTTCCCCACTAAACAACAACAACTTGCATTTATATAGTGCTCTTCACGCAGGGTAGGGTCCCGGAGCGGTTAGACGTGTAAAAGCCCTTTACGCCCATATAGTATTCATCCAGTAGCCTCATTTGGAATAAGTGACATTGACTCAGTTGATATCAAGTGGGATGAGACTTGGTTTGCTTGCTATTAACTTGTCTGAATCTGAATGTCTGCGAAAGCGCATTTGACTTATTTTCTCTATTCATTGAACTAGAATGCACATCAGTCGATGAATGTGAAGAACTGATGATCAATGCTGCAGCAACCATTAACAACCTGTCCTACTATCAAGTGAAGAATTCTGCTGTCGGGGCCAAGCAACTGCATATTGCTGAATGTAAGCTGATTGTTTTCTCAACTGCCATTGTCCAAAGGATCCATATTTCACTCTTTCCTTGTGTGTCTGTCCCAATGCTTGATAAGGCCAGCCAGCATAATAATTGCAATAATCCTTACATTTGATATTGTGACTTTCAACGTTTTAGAAAATTTACGGTAAAGTGTAGTGTTTGTGTATTTTGGAGCGAATGAGGCAGCCGATTTGGGCATGGCAATGTCCCAGGCAGGATGTGAATGACCAATTTTATCTGGAGGATTGTTGATCAGGATAACAAAGGGGGGAAAACCAATAGAAACACTGAGAAATCTATTTTATAACTGTTGCATAGACTGTTGTAGCTATTTCTTTGCTCTATTTACTGAGATATCTGGTGCGATACGTTGAGAAATGGTAGAGCAAAGATTCATTTTTATCATTCCCATTCAGTGAATTTCCAAACATGCCACACTATCTAAGTATTAGAGAAAGCATTGTGCTCTATTTCCTATTTCTATTATTACTGCTAGTTAATCTGTTCAAGTGAGGCTTGTTCACCATTAGATCACGTTTCTTTATCAGATTTTTATCATAGCTTCTATTGTTTGCAGCCACTGATGGATTTATTGGAAATATTAACTAATGCTTGGCTAGGGTTAGCCTTAAAGCCTAAAAACCTTGTTTAATTTACTTTTGTGCTCCTGATATAATAACCAAATAATGGCACTTTTTCTGTTATAGCAAATCTGTATTTATTGTTCTGCAGTGATGATGAAAAAGCTTTTGCTGTGTAACAATATGGATGCGATCTTGGAGGCTGCCCGGGTCTTTGGGAATATTTCCCGGTCTAAGGAGATCCGTGATTTTATTGTACAAAAGAATGGTAATGTGCTTGTACACTACAATCAATATAGATAGCAATAATGTAAATTATTCGCAAAAGTTCATTCCCACTTACATCACAACAATTTCTGTTTGATTTATTTACTGTTTAATTTATTTGATTTATTTACTCATTCTCAACAATGTTTTTAACTATAAATATGGTTATTTCATTTGCCACATTGCTCATTATAGCCCCTCTGCGTTAGATTGTGAAAGTTTAATCCAAATGTGTTTTTTTTATAAAAAACAATGAAGTCTGTTAACACTTTGTAGAGTATTTGAAGTTTGCTTAATTCAGGAAGAGCCAAAGTGATTCGAGAGTACAATATACAATTTGCAAATCATTTCTATGGTGCAAGAGGTAGAGGACACACAACTAACACTGACATCAGGTCAGATATTCTAAACATTTTAAAGGGCCCACCACATCAGTTACCGAGTCGTATCCTCATCAAAGAGAATACAATTCAAGGTCACGATTTGAGCAAAAGTCACAAATGATTTACTTTCTCACTATAGAACAAATGTTGCAATCAAACCTATGTTATGTACTATCAATAGATCAGAACAATACTTTCAGATACACCAAGGTAGCAGACAAACAGGTCACAGATTCAGTGTTGTAAAAGCAATTTCAAACAGACACTAGGAATTATTACTTCAAACAGATATTAATGACTGGATCAGGTTACTGGGAGGGTGGATGAGGCCAGGATGCTGGACACATTTAAGAATCAGCTTGATGTTATCAGGGGTGGATGGCAGAGTAGGTATTTGGACGGATTAGATCAAATGGGCCAAAGGGCCTTCTTCATCCGAACCTCTCTTGTGATTTGCTGTTTTTATGCTCTAGTGTCGTAGTGTTTATTGAGTTCTTAGATCACATTTAATTACAATACAATTGTATTAAGAATACAATTTAAACTTGAATATAACTTTTTGAAAACCTCAGCAAGTACTCTAGTTCTTTAAGAGATTATGTAAAGGACCCACGTTTCAATAGTTTTGAAACACAATAAATAATCAAGCTATTTAACTGGATTTCCGAACACAAAATTCAAAATCAAAGCCACTAATATATTTAGACGTATTTTTCACGTCTAATGCACACAGAGAATGAGTGGCATTCTGTACTGGTTGTGTATTAATAATAATAATAATAATACTTGCATTTGATTTAGTGCCTTATCACGTCTTCAGGACATCTTAAAGCAATTCACAGAATATATAGTAAAGTGTTGAGATTGTCTATTTTGTTTCGGCAGCCAATTGCACACAGCAATGCTCCACTAACAGTCGTGGATTGAGTGACCAAATTATTATTATTTAATTTTATTACATTTTTGAAGGGTTTATTACCCCCCTGGAAAAGTGATCTACCAATCGACAAACAACTGGATTCCTACTTACTGATGGGTAAACAGAGGAAAAATACCTGAAGCAATATACTAATGTGGTTACAAATACGTGGCAGTCACCAGTAGAGCAGGGCTTTCTGTAGTCAATATATAAACTGATGCTAGCGGGAATTTAATAACAAATGTAAAGTTGCAACTTGTTACGACAGCAAGAGAAAGAAACATTTCTTACAAAAGGAAACAGTTGATAGAATTATCTCTTTCCTATAGTTCCTGCACGGTCAAACTCAGGGTTTCATGGTATGTACAGGGTAACCAGACTGTCATATCTATCCTATTATCTATTAAAACATCTATCATCATTTCTTTAAGACTTATTAGCCATGGTATCATGACTTTTTGGTCTCCCTGTATATTGCTTTCATACATCGAGGCTCAACTATGCAAACTCACTGCTTTTCGGCCTCCCCAACTCCTCCCTTCATAGGCTGTCGATCATCCAGAACTCTGCAGCCCATGTCCTCTCCCGCACTAGGCTCTGTGACCCTATCACCCCCATCCTCACCAAACTCCATTGGCTTCCCATCACACAGAGGATACAGTTCAAGATCCTGGTCCCCACCTTCAAAGCCCTCCATGGTCTTGCTCCCCCCTACCTGTGCAACCTCCTAAACCTCTACCATCCTGCTCGCTCCCTCCGCTCAGTGGGCTCCAGCCTGCTTCATGTCCCCGGCTCGCTCGCCCCACTATTGGCAAACGGGCCTTCTACCACTCTGCCACCACCCTCTGAAACTCCATCCCATAGTCCCTCCGCCTCGACCCCTCCCTCACCACCTTCAAGACCCATCTCAAGAGACGCCTCTTCTACCGTGCTTTTGATCTCCCTGCTTTCCCCCTGCCCTTCACCCTACCCAACCCCTACCCCCAGCTTGGGCCTGTAACTCTGTCTGTCCAGCGCCTTTGGATGTCCTCTCGACGTGAAAGGTGCTATACAAATGTAATTTTGTTGTTGTTGAGGAGAAATATAAATATAGTCTCAGTTACAGATGGGAAAGACAAATTTATTCTCAACAAGCAGAAGTATGTGTGTACATCTGTTTGAGGGCTCACTGACTACAGAACAACTTCAGTGCATAATTGCGCAAGTTGAGTCCAGGCCAGTGGTTAGCAAGATTCCGCTGGAAAACTGGTATGGTATTAAAATACACAGATTTTAGGCAGAGCCATCTGTTCAACTAGAAAACACACAATCTAAAAATTAGTGCTTTTCTGCTGCAGGGTGTGTTTTGCTTCACTCCCTCAATTGATTGAGATTTATAATTTTGGTTCAAGGAGGTTGGGGAGGAAGAATCCTCTACTAAAATGATCTTTATTGTGTGTAAATCAGTGGACAGGTTTATGATCACCTTATTGGACGCCAAGCACCAGGATGTCTGTTTCTCCGCCTGTGGAGTTCTTATAAATCTTACAGTTGATAAAAGCAAACGAACCATATTGAAACAGGATGGAGGGATTAAAAAGTAAGTATATAAACGCCTTGATTTTGAGTTCTGGTTAACTAAGAATCTTACTAAACAGCTGATTTCTTGCAGATGTTTTCTGCCATCCTTGATAGTGGACTTTTAATTTATTATTCAAATTGGTTTGAGGAACAAAGCAGAAAAATACTGGTAATTGTTTTGTTTCTTGCCTGTGAACTACTTTCTATACAGAAGATTTATCGTAGAGTTGACTTTTAAGATAGTAGATCTTTCTCTTTATGAGGCATTTGTTAATTGAAGGTGTTGAGAGTAAACTGCTTTGGTTACATATTTTAGGATTCTTTATCCATAGAGGACCTTGAATAAATGAATTGTTCACTTTATTTCTTAATATTAATATCACATCATATCTAGGCTCTACTACGCCAACTCCCTACTTATCACCCTTCCCAACTCTTCCCTCTACAAGCTGCAGATTATCCCGAACGCTGCAGCTTTTGTTCTCTCCTGCACCGGGCTCCGTGACCCCATCACTCCCACCCTCACCCAGCACCACATCCCCCACTGGATAGAGTTCAAAATCCTCATCCTCGCCTTCAAGACCCTCCACGGGCTTGACCCTCCTACCTCTGTGACGTGCTAACTCCTATCAACCTGTCCGCCCCCTCCACTCTGCAGGCTGGGGTCTGCTTCATGTCCCCCACCCGGCCCAACAATAACAATAACTTGGATTTATATAGCGCCCTCCACGCCGGACGGCGTCTCAGAGCACTTCACAGTAACGGATCCCGGGGCCGAGCCAGGGGGAGGGGGAAGAAGATGACCAAAGGCGCGGTCGAAAAGAAAGGTCTTTAGCCGAGACCTGAAAGTAGAAAGAGAGGGGGTGAGGCGAAGGGAGTGAGGAAGGGAGTTCCAGAGGCTTGGGGCGTAGTGACTGAAGGCACGGCCACAGAGGGAGGACCGGAGGATTCGGGGGACGAGGAGGAGGCCAGACCCGGTGGAGCAAAGGCAACAGGCACTGTTGTGAGGAGAGAGGAGGTCAGAGAGGTAGGAGTGTGCAGAGGAGTGCAGGGACTTGAACACAAGGGTGAGGATCTTGAAATCGATCCTCTCTGGGATAGGCAGCCAGTGCAGTCTGGCAAGGACGGGTGATCGGGGAGTGGAGATTCGTGCAGGTGAGAATGTGGGTGGCAGAGTTTTGAATGATTTAGATTTTATGGATGGTAGTGGAGGGGAGACCGGCGAGGAGGGCATATGAATAGTCCAGCCGAGAGGTAACAAAGGGGGTGAGATATTGCGGAGATGGATGATGCGTCGGAGGTGGAAGGAAACGGTGCTGGTGAGGGACCAGATGTGGGGGAGGAAGGATAATTGGGGGTCAAACCTGACGCCTAGGTTGGTACGGGTTCGGAGAGTTTTAGGGGCAGGTCAGGTAGGTGGAGGAGGTGAGAACCATTGGCAGTTAGGCCTTTTGTCCCCACCCTTTGGAACTCCATTCCAATGCCTTCTCCTTGCTCCCTCCCTTGCCTCCTTCAAAGCAGGTCTCAAAACTCTCCTCTTCAACTGCACCTTCAGCCACCCTCCTACCCTCCACGCTCCCTGATCCCAACACCCTGCTCAGATCCCAATCCCTGACTTTCCAGTGCCTTTGGGACATCCTCCCGATGGGAAAGGCATTATACAAATGTAATTTTGTATTATGATAGTGTAACTATTAGCCTAATTCATTAAACATCTTATTTGTTTTAATGTGTTAAAACGTTTCTGTTTGCTTCCAGGTTAATTGATTGCTTGAGAGACTTTGGACCCATAGACTGGCAACTTGCCAGTCTGGTCTGCAAAACACTTTGGAACTACAGTGAAAAAATCACTAGTGCTGTGTTGTGCTTTGGAGAGAAAGAGACCAATGAACTTCTAGAGCTCCTTTCTGCATATTTAGGTATGAAATGAAGCTCAGGTGTGGCACATCTTCTGTGAAAAAAAATTTCAGGACAATATCCTGGTCGCGTATGATGACTGGTTCTTTTACATACACCTGGTTTGCAGGGTCGATTGGATATCAGAACAGAATGAGCATTTCCTGGAATCCATTTTATTGAATAGATTGAGCAATAGTAGTGAGGGCCAGAAAGAAGTCTGACCAGCTACATTCAGTGTTCGTTCAAACATTTAAAAAACATACCCCTCTAGAGCAGGCATATAATAATCCTTGTCCTCCTAAGCCTCTACCAACCTGTCCACTCCCTCCACTCAGTGGGGTCCAGCTTGCTTCACATCCCCCGCCTTGCCTGATCCACCATTGGTGGGCAGACCTTCAGCTTATCTGCCCCCACCCTCTGGAACTCCAACTCCACTTCGCCCCCTCCCTTGCCTCCTTCAAGACTCATCTCAAGTCCCTCCTCTTCAACCGTACCTTTGGTCATCCTTTTAACCCTACCCTCCCCCCGTCCTGATCCCAACCACCAGCTCGGGTGCAGATTCCTGACTATCCAGGGGTTTGGGATGTCCTCCTTACATGAAAGGCACTATACAAATGTAATTATTTGTTGTGTTTGATATAGCACCTAAGTACTTCACAAGATTTACTCTAAAATGTAGTGATTGTGCATTTGTAGGTAAATGTAGCAACAAATTTCCACACAGCAATGTCCCACAAACAACCATGAATGACTCATCTAGGGATTTTTTGGCTAGGAGAAACTATCTCCCTTTTACGAATTGTACCATGAAATCTTTAACATCCCAAATAATAATAAATTGGATGCATCAATCCAAGACTGTTTGTGGGAAACTGCTGTATGCAATTGGCTGCCATGTTTCGCCTAGAAAATATAGACAAATTCACTTCAAGGAATATTCTGCGCAGCGCTTTGAGACGTCTCAAAGACGTGATAAGGCGTTATATCAAATGCAAGGATTATCATTATTATTATCTGACAGGCAGATGGGGCGTTGGTTTAGCTCCTTATCTGAAAGAGACGGCACTTCTGACAATGGAGTGCTCCCCCAACAATACATTGGAGGGCCACCCTAAACTGATTAAGCTCAAAGTCATAATGTGGGCCTTGAACCCACAACCTTTTGACTTAGGTGCAAGAGTGGTACCACTTGAGCCGAGCTGATATGTATATGATTGACATTCCAACTCTTCCAATAAACTGCATGTCAGATGTCAAGTTGTGGAAGAGTCCCAATTTTCTCCACTCAATGCCATCAAAACAGGACCTGCAGCTTAACTGCTTCAAAGGATTTTGCAGAGTGCTCTTGCAGTTCAAAGGGAAGCGCAATCATTTTATTATTCTTACTAATCACCAAAATATTGATTACCGAACTACTACAACAACTTGCATTTATATAGCGACATTCATACTGGATGGCTTGAACTGAATTGGCATCAACTGAATTGATATACAAAATATATCATTTTTATTTACATTCTTTATGCAGCTGCTGGTATTATCTTTGATTCAGATTCAGTATTTTTCTATTTTCTCCTCAGACGAAGAAATTGCACTGGACCCGGCCAAGAGTGGGACAGATGAAGGACTAGTGGAGTTCCACAGAGCATGTTGGGAATCTGAGTTTGTGCCTGTAGCCCAGCAACTACTGCACAGGATTCAGTGTCATCACACTCACCTGGAAGCTCTGCCCTTCCCCACACAGTAACATTCCTTCTCTTAGAAAGGTCTCCATTGTCTTCCTTGTGGATAGAAAAATTGGTACTATTAAATCCACTATTCCTGCAATACTTGTATACACAGACAGACATAGACCTCTATCCATCACAATCATCTGTAATGCTTAACCATAGAATATCACAGAACAATAAGTTATTTTTAAATATTAATAAGACACTGGTGTTTTGAAATGTTCTGCAATTTAAAATATTATTGCAGCTAATTTACGAACACACAATTGATACTGTTTAGAATTCACAAATTTGCAATGCAAAAGGTTTTCTTTGTATGTGTGGAGTGCAAAATACCGTGAGAGACAACTAATGATAATCCAATTTGGACAATTGTAAATATTTTCTTTGTACATTCTAAATATTTTCATTTTGAATTCGCACAAGGTTTCATGATGTGCGTATCTTTAACTGTTTTCTCCAGTTGATTATTTTATAGCAGAGTTTAATTAAAGTTTTATTTATTGCTGATTGTGCACAGCTTTGGAGTTCTGCTTCATCCCAAATGGAATTTCAAACTCCATCTCTCAATACTGCTATCTTCCAACTTCTGAAACATTACACAAATATTGCACCTTTCATGTTGGGAAAGTGTCCCAAGGCGCTGGGCAGTCCAGGGTTTGTACCCAAGCTTGCACTGGGCTGAAGGTGCGGTCAAAGAGAAAGGCCTTGAGACAGACATTCTCCACTTACACCTTCACTCTTACTCAGCTCAACTGCTGAACTCTTTATCCATAGTTACAGCACCAGATAGACAGTAAAAGTTCCATGACATCATTCAAGAAGAGAGGGGAGTTTCTCCTGCGGTTCTGATCAAAAATGCTCCAGATAAATTTTGTGATTTATAGCTGCAAGTTTGAGGGACATGGCTGTGCACCAATTGGTTATCATGTTCACCTACAAAATAGTCACTATGCTTTTACAGTAAATTCTATAAGGTGCAAGATATTGGTGCTATATTGAGTGCAGTTGGCTGAGACATCTTGAGACGCGATAAGGCACTATATCAAATGGAAGGATTATTATTATTTTTTATTTCGCACAACTGATTCAGCTTTTTACAAAATTTACTGATGAGAATTTAAGCTTGTTCAGTATCCATCTGTTAAATATGAACAGTTACATTTTGGTATTTTTGAATAGACATGTTGGAAACATCACAAAATGCAGCACATTCAAATTTTATTCATTTCAACATGTCAATACAGACAATTATTTTGACTAAAAAAAGTAACGTTTTACATTTTAAGAACTTCAAGAAGTTGATCAAAACCCTATAAAAACAAAAGGACATAATGCTGATATTTTAAATCAGGCTCTGTTATTCAGTAAACACAAACATTTTCAGCTGTTCCACATAAGCTGTCAATGGTTAAAAATCACATAAAAAGAGGGTTTGCACTGTAATTCTAGTACAGACAGTCAGTCACTTTTCCACTGAATACAGCTGATAAGTAGGAGAAATCCATTAGTGTACCAGAGGGCAGCTGACCAAACTTTCTTACACAACCAGCAAGTAAAAGGCTAACACATAGCCAAATACTGCAATACAATCGGTGTAAAACGTTACAGTGTGTAATCTGTAAGGAAGTCTAAATAACTCAAATCTACAGTGCTCTTCTTTCAAAAGGACACACACCACTTTGAGTACAACTGAAATTGAACCCAACACTAGGTTCCTCATTTTTAGAAAAAGAAACATACATTTCAAAGTTTGCACAGCATTGTTTTACAGCAGAAATACTCTTTACATTTGAACATCAGGTGTGCTAGAATTCTAAGATATAAAAATTAGAATGACTAAATATTGACTCGCAATATAGTCTGTGCCTTGCTGAAGTCACAGGACAGGCTCAAGCATCTGCAGTGTTCAATTTGATAGTCTTAGCTTAAATTGGGAAGCCAGTCATCACAGCAATTCACCATCAGGAGAAGCAGCTACTCTACTGTCTACAGCTTCAAACAAGGTCCTTGAGGCGCATACAGTTGTTTCCAATTGTCTTTAAATAATGCTCCAACTCCCATTACCTCCTGCATCAACCACGCATTACAACCGCACATGGCAATACTGTGGCTGGTTGCTGCAAGAAAATAAAAATGTTAGGAATTACTGTATGTTGTCAAAACACACAGATGATCAAATGCTGAGTTGCACATTGCTTCTTCACAGTCTTCCATACTTTTTCTTCTGTGCAGGATCCATAACTTGAACGCTTGCCACAGTTCACCAAAAAAACGTCTCTTCTCATGATGTATGGCACAATGAAATTTGAGTAATTTGCGTACTTTGAATCAAATGTGGTTCAAATGGAACAGGCAGGTTCGCCAATAAGAATTGGTGTTATAAATAAGCAGGCTCCTCATGTCCGATAGCGAGTAATGGCCGTCAGAGCATAAAGAAGTTCAGCCTGCATACGAGCTTCCATAAGAAGCAAATTCACATGAATCTGGGGAAGAAACATACATTTTGTAAGAAGTTTTTAAAATTCAAACCATGAAAAAAAAAGTCACTCCTATTTACTTATCAAAACTCTCAACAATGAAGTGCCATAAGTCAAAGAATATTTCACTGGGTTAGATCAAATCAAAGATTTAATGTATTACTTGAGCCTTACGTTTCATACTTCAGATGCTGATAGATATTGTATTAATTGTTTAATCTACTCAGGCTTTGAAGGAGCAGTTTTGAATCCTCAAATTGGTACTGGATATAATTATTTTCTCTTCCAGAGAAGTAGAATTTGGACCCAGTCGAGGCAAGCTGGATAAGGAATTTCCCATCATATTTAAGAATGATAGGTGATGTGTGTCTACCAAGAATGGAAGATATATATTTTCAAATCTCCTGCGCAGTATTTGTGTATGAGGGAATTTTCTCTCATGGAAAGTCTTCATACCTTCTCAGAGTGTTTGAATAGCCTCCAGAAGTTGTCATACATTCTTTTTGTAGTCTTCTCTGGAGAACAGACCACTGTCTTTATATAAACTTTAAAGCTATGTTCCAATAGCTGATTAATTTCACCGTAGTCATAGTCGTCATACCTGGCACAAATAAAATCCATGAGTTTTCTGCAGCCAATGTGCCACATGATCAGAAATATACACAACTGCTGTAAGCTCACCTTATTCCAAACATGCAATGGATGTAGTTCCAGATAGCTCGTCTCAACATTGAGGTATCCACATCCTTGTGCATTGCCATGGTGTTGTAAGTCAGGTTGTAAACGATCTGAAACTTCTCATCCAATAGCTGCCCAACATCTGGGTAAAGACGGTTCACAAGCGAGTACCCATGATCTTCCCAACTATAGTCCTGTGGCAAACGTTAAAGAAACTTGTAGTTGTAATTCTTGGATCAAGTGACAAATAAAAGCATAAATACATCAAGAAATTCAGGGAATCATCACATCCATCCAACTAGCTTAAGTCTTACTGGGTCCAACTCAATTTTATACAACACCAGTTTAGTTCACGTTCCCCTGGCAGTCATGAGGATTAGAATCATAGAATTATGCAGCACCAGAGGAGGCCATTCGGCCCATCGTGTCTGTGCCGGCTCTTTTAAAAGAGCTATCCAAACCAATCCCATTTCCCCGCTCTCTCCCCATAGCCCTGCAAACTTGTCCTCCCCAAATAATTATTTACTCTCTTAAAAGTTGTTATCAAATCGGCCTCCTCCAATCCAAGGCTATAAATATCATACAATGCTTTATTAGTTGTAAAATGTATTCCTTAAAATAAATACCACATTCTGTAGGTTTTTTGGGCACAAACACTTCAACATGGAGTAACAACCACAATTGGTTCATTAAATGCATGGGTTTCAGATCAGCAGCATTATTATATCCAAAAAATACAGTCACTGCACTTTACAGTATATCCTGTGAAGTGCTTTGAGACTGACAACACAATAACGTGCTAAATCAAATGCAAGGATTATTATTCAAATTATATAATTTGAAGCTTTTAACACCAGTACTAGCACAGGTCCAACTACTTGTGTCTTGGCATTAACAAGCTACAGGCTACCTCCGTTCAAGGAACCAACATGGATGGATCGGACAGCAGGTAGGATTGAGAATATTACTCTAAGTCAAACATTCTTTTATTTCAGCTGTTGATGCTTTGAGACAAAAATGTGTCTGCAATGTCTGTGTTGCTAGAAGCAGTTCCTCTCATCAGAGATTTACTTTCAAGATAGCACGGAGACTTCCACTGAGTGACAAACCTTTGCAACGTGGGCAGTACCACCTTGGAACCATGCTCCAAACAACAGCACTGCCCCCAACAAGAGCAGCTTTCAACAGTGGCCATTCAAATGGCTAACCTTCTGTCGAAGTGAGTACAGTAAATGAACAGGTTGGAAGTGGAGGAAGGCACCAGCCAGGATGCAGGAAGTTATGGTGTACAACATGGCATGAGCATTTCTCCTCTTTCTATGGAGTACTATGGGGTAGAAGAGGAGAAAAACCAAGGTTGCACACCTAGTCTGTGCTCAGCACTGCACCTGAATGACATGACTGCAATGCGAACAATGGGCCCAATGATGTACACTACAACTGACGCTTCACCGTGACAAGGCACCAGATCAAAGAAAGCAAAGATTAAGCTGTAGATAAACACTGAAGAATTTTACCTGAGCTCGGAATGTAGGTACACTTTGCTCTCCACATCTGGAAAAGTCTTTATATCCATAGCTTGGGTCTTCAAAATGACGAGCAACATCCCTTGTGTCCACAGATTCATCATCTTCTGGGGGTATAAACAAAAATCTGTAAGACTAGTGATTTTTTTTAGTATTATGGAATCTATCTGAAATGAATGTCACTTTCTCACCTAGTCTTTCACAGCTAGCCACCCACATGAACATTTCTTCAAATGTAGAGATCTTATCACTTGTATTTTCTACACACATTTCTTACAGCATTAATATTATTTGCATACTGCAGCAGTAACTTTCTGCAGTTTTTGTACAGTGGTATTTGTACTTAATCTGAAATGCTGCCTAAGATAAAATCTGAATACGGCATAATCTGAATTTTGTGTTTCAGCGAACAGACAATGGCCGTATTGGCCTTCCAATACGTCGGACATTTTTGTGGTTCTATATGCCTAAACTATGCATTTATAATTTAATTTCCAGAGTTACATTTGGTTTAAATTTCTAGAACAAGTGTAAAAACTATCTGGTAGCAAACTCAATTGGTACCCATTGGTATCTGTCTATCAATATTCTCAAAGCCACAGTGAAAAAAAATCTAAAGGGAATCTTTGTTGTCAAAATAATTCAATTCTAGAACACATTAAAATGTCAAGACAATGGGCTGGATTTCAATGGAATTTCATATCCACTATTTTAAAAACCCAAGGCTCTCTCCGTTTTGGAGGAAATCAAGGCTCCATTGTGCTGCTGACACCACATACAATTATACATGACTTTCACTCTCACCTACTGATGCTACATAAAGGCTCTCAGTCTTTTCTCTTTCAAATCGTGTTGCCATTTCCTCTTGGCTTGCCTCCTCTTCATCTCTGCACTCCTGCAACCATTTCATTTTTTCCATCAGTGCTTCCACCTCACATGAGGCATCTGTTACCTGTTAAAAATAAATAGACTATTGTCATCCTGGATTCTAAACATGTATCTGCAGCATAACATATTTGAACAATAAAGGGAAGTTCTATGCTGTACTACACTAACACACCTATCACCAGAACAATCAGTTTAATTGCTCCAAGTCTTGATTAGTGGAATTTGTACTTCACTTTCCTTTTGTTATTAATAACCTGAACTTACTACATTAAAAGGCACAACAATTTGACCAGTCCAGTGTGTTCTTTTATAACCATGAGAACATTAAATGCAGCATTTCATTTCTCACTCTTCCAAATACGTTTATAACAAGTTTTTAAAAAAAAAGTCTGAAGAAGTAGTTTATAAGGAGTGCCGATGATTTGCATTCAAAGTATATAAGTGATTTTTTAAATTTACGTGACAGCAATTTGAATGTGAGAAAATCAGTAGACATGCACTCACATCACTTCGTCCTTGGCCATTGAGTCCATCTTCCACACAATTATTGCCATTTGCTAAGTCACAAACGCAGTAATTATCCACTGAAGGGAGTCGAAATGTGTGTCCTCCATCACAATGCATCTCAGAATTGATCCCACAGCCGTACGTGAAAGAGGCCAGAGAATGATAGTGAGTGAGCAGGACAACAACATGCACCAATTCAGCCAGCGACCACCCATGCTCTTCAGCTTTCAGGAGTTTCTGTAAAAAGATAGAAAATATGGTTACCAGTGCTGTCACAAACTTTCATCAACGTCATCTCCCCTTTAAGGAATCTCAGATCATCTGACCCATCCATTATTTAATTTTCTTTGTATCCATTGGTCAATTTAAAGTTTTTCTTATAAGAGAAATTGGTTTCAGTTCCCTAAGAAATTATTTTTTTCACACTGGTAAAATTTATAAAAAGGAAAGCAGTTTAAAATCTTTACAATACATTAATAAATCATTTTGAGTTTGATAACATAAAATACACCCTGCTACATTTCTATCATACCCAGAATAGTTCAAAAGTTTAACTACACTAATGCTATTCCAACTTCTATTTGACAATTAACAAAACTGGGTCATAAAACAAGCTTGTTTTTTATGCCTTTACAACATCTTTAGTCTACAGGTTTCAGTACATGCTTAACACCACAGTGCAGGCAATCGTGTTAAATGGGTTTGGAAACCACACTGCACAATCACATCAAACAATTTAGAAAAGCACACCTCAATGTGATCTTTGGTAATAAGCCACGGCCTATGAGCGAGAATCTTGTTCAGTTCGCTCAGATTCTGGAGCTTTTGAGGGGCAGAATCCAATCCAGCCAACCACTTGGGATCTCCTCCAGCTTGGAGGAAATCATTCACATGGAGGTTGACAAGATAGGAACACTGGTGCCGAGCTGTCGCCTGCAGGAACAAAAACATAGGTATGATTTCAACTTTTTCTCAAAAAAAAAGCCCATTCTTTAATTTATCTCATAAACAATGACAAGTGCCCGGATGGTAGCATTCTCGCCTTTGAGTCACATGCTGTGTAAACCCATGTTTTGAATACAACAACAACTTGCACATGGAGTGCCCTCCACTCAGGGTAGCATCTCAGAGCGCTTAACAGTGGTGGAGCCTGACTCAGAGCCGGGGGGGAGGTGACCCATAAGCACAGTCAAAGAGGAAGGTTTTCAGGTGGGGCTTGAAAAAAGGGAGGGGACAAGGCGGAAGGATTGAGGGGGAGTGTTCCAGAGTTTCGGGGCGTAGTGGCTGAAAGCATGGCCTCCGATGGTGAGGGTATGAGGGATGAGTAGGAGGCCGGTGCCAGTCAAGTGGAGGCGCCAGATTGAGGAGCGAGGAGGTCGGAGAGATATGGAGCTGCCAGAGAGTGAAGGGATGTAGATACACAGTCCAGGCTGGCAGTGCAGTGCTGGGGGGTTGGAGAGTGCTACATTGTTGGAGGTGCTGTCATGAAATGTTAAACCTACTTTGCCCAGGTGGACATTAAAGATCTCATGGCATTATTCGAGAAGGGAGTTTCTCAGTGTCCTGGCCAACAATCCTCCAGAAACAAAAACTGGTGTAAATCCTTAACTTCCTGGCTGTTTGCAGGATAATTCTGTGTGCAAAATCAGCTGCCATATTCACCCACAGAACATACAGTCTTTGTACTTTACAGTGCATCCTGTGAAAGACTTTAAGACGTCCTCCTAACGTGAAAAGCATTGCATCAACTGCAACCATGATGCTGGTATACAAATATGAAAAATGCAAGTAATCTGAATACTATACAACAAAGAAAACTTTAAGATTTCAGAAGTGAAGCATTAAATTCCAAACTGCGTTTCATATAGATTTATACTTCTACAAATGAGACTCACCATTATTGCAATGTAGTGTCGGAAATGGTAAGGCAGTGGACCATCCATTTGCATCAGGTAGTGTTGAGTTTTCAGAAAACTGAAAAGATATTGTGGATGGAAGCCCATGACCAAGGTGATATTGTCCAGACGGCCCGTGGTGGTGAATGCTTCAACGAACAGCAAGTGTGTCCCTGCATCTTCTTGTCTCACTTGAACCGTCTGTTCAAAATAATTAACATTTAGCACACCACAGATCTGATATCTATATTTTACTTTGGCACTGGCCAGATGGACCACAAATCTTCTCTAGCCTTATCTGCATATTTCTATGTAAAATGCTAAAATTGGCCACAACACCAGGTCAGAGTGGGGGGGTGAGGAAGAAGCTAATCTATCAGAATTCCTGTTTTTAATCACCATTCAGTAACTTCTGCTACAAAATGTGGTGAACAAGATCGGAAATCTACACACCCAGCATGGACTACCTGTCTAGTCACTCGAAGAATGGGCATGTCCGCAAAGTCCTATAGGACTAGCAGGATTCATGAAAGCTAACGAGTAAAGGAAAAAAGTGAGAATTTCTAAGGTGAATACAAGACAACCCTATGCATATAGGAAGCGCTGCCGATGTCTGTGAAGAAAGGGACGTAAGCAGCACACTGGGAGAACCCAGGAGTCAGACAATTTTAATGCTTCACTTATAACATGGTCTAAGAGATATCAGATCTAGGTAACCGTATTACAACAGGCTGAAAACAATCCAGAGGGGAAAGTGAATCTACGAGAACTGTACATTTCCTAGCAGTCAGTCATAGAGTTACATTGCATAGGTCTGAAAGCTGGTCAGTTTCCTAGCTGGTCTTGTTCAAGGAAAATAATTACACTGACATTCAAATACTTGACATTGTTAATCCCCTACATTGCTTTGCGATCCATTTTGAGAAACAAGTCTACTTGAAATATTGTTTTGAAAGAACAAGGACATTTTAAAAATTGCTAGGCCGTGCAATTGGCAAGAATTAAACAAAAAAAATCACCACAGAAGCAGACATTGCCTTAACACACAACCTCTTCGGCTACGCCCTTTCTTTTCACAGGACAAAAATATTCTGAAGTGTGTCATCCGCAAATTTATATGGGATTCTTTACACAGCATTCTCCCACTTCTAATCCTAGGGAAACAATTTAAGTACCGTAGCTTTAAACAGACTTAAGACTTTTAGGGAAGAGTTCATTGGCATCCAGAATCTTGCCATCAGGCACTACTGCAGTAAACACTCCTCAAATATTTAGCACAGGGCTGCAAGCTGCCAGATTTGATAACTCACTGTAGACCAGAGATTAAAGTGTAAAACCAGACAAATAAGAAAAATACACATACTTCTTTTTCAGGGATGAATGCACTTGGTCCTTGTCCCAAAGGTCGGGGAATTCTCACTCCCATTTCCTGTAAAGAACAGAAGTTTTTTGTTAGGGAAGCACACATCCAAAATACAAAACAAAGCACTTATATTGTGTTCTGTCTTCATCTATTTAGCAAGGGTAGAGAATGGTCAGAATAAACCATGCTGAAATTTCGTGGGGTATCAATTTGTTTTTATCACTCCATAACCTCATTCAAGCAAACATTAATTACATCGGCTACATCCCTAGTCTTACCAAAACATTTGGCCTGCTGCCTGGAGCACATAGTCCAGTATAGCTTCCGAACACAAGGTTAAATTCTATGCAGTAAAGCACCTTTGCAACATTTATTTTCCACATTTCTATCACACACTGAGCCACTGGCAATGATGACAAATAAATCAATGAGACATGGTTAAGTTTATTTTGTATTATATTTCAGTCAGGTTGTGCAGGATTAAAATAAATTCCTCTTTTGACTGGTGAGATTTCACAATACCACTTGGCCCATTGCCCAGAACATATAGTTCAGTACGATCAACACAAAAATAAAGTTTGTTTTGATGTTTAGGTTTTGTTGCTTCTGTCCATCGTTTCAGGCATCTCATTGAGAGACACTGCAACCATTGGGAAATTCTAATAGGATCCAAAACCATACAACGGTTCTACACTCCTGTCAACTGAAAACTGCAGCAGGTAGCTTTGTGCAAATGTTCAATGCACCTGCCATCATTAAAGGAGTAATGTACTGGAAATAGAAGGCTTATAGTTTAGTAACAAACACGGCAATTATGCAATACCTTGTTCAGATTTCAAAGCAACAACGCAGCTGCACATTTACAAAATACTACTGTAACTCAGCTTCAAAACCCTCCATGGCCTCGGTCCCCCCACACCTCTCCAATCTCCAAACCCCCTTCCAACCTGCCCGCTCCCTCCACTAAGTGGGCTCCAGCCTGCCTCATGTCCCCCCGCCTCACCATTGGTGGGCGGACCTTCAGCCTCTGCCCCCACCCTCTGGAACTCCATTCCACAGTCCATCCACCTTGCCCTTCCCTTACCTCCTTCAAAACCCATCTCAAGACCCTCCTCTTCGACCGTGCTTTCAATCACCCTCCTTCCCTCCCTCCGTGCTGCCCATAGCACAGAAACTGCCCTGGTCAAGGTCACCAATGATATCCTGACCATCTGTGACCAGGGCTCCCTCTGCCTCCTCGTCCTCCTCGACCTATCGGCAGCATTCGATACGGTCGACCACGCTATCCTACTCCACCGCTTGTCCTCCCACCTCAACCTTCAAGGCACTGTCCTTGAGTGGTTTAGGTCGTACCTTTCTCACCGTCTTCACTTTGTCTCGACGAATGGCTTCTCCTCCACCCCCCGCACTGTCTCATGTGTGTCCCTCAGGGCTCTGTCCTCGGTCCCCTCCTCTTCACCCTCTATACGCTCCCCCTCGGTGACATCATCCGCAGACATGGAGTTAACTTCCACATGTATGCGGATGACACCCAACTCTACCTTTCCTCCTCTACTCTCAACTCCACGACCACCGATGTCCTGACAGCCGCCTGTCCGACATCGAGTCCTGGACGAGAGACAACTTTCTTCAGCTCAACGTGCGAAAAACCGAGGCCCTCCTGATTGGCTCACGTCAGCGCCTCCGCACCTCAGGCGCCGACACCATCAGCATCCAAGGCTGCACTCTCCACCTCTCAAAGCCAGTCAGGAACCTCGGCGTTTTGTTCGACCCTGAGCTGTCCTTTCTCCCTCACATCCGCACCACAACTGGCACCGCCTTCCATCACCTCCGGAACATCGCCAGACTACGGCACTACCTCACCCCTCACGCTGCTGAAACCCTGGTCCACGCCTTTGTCACCTCAAGGCTGGACTATGGGAACTCTCTCCTCGCCGGCCTTCCCGGCACCTCCCTCCACAAGCTGCAGGTCATTCAGAACTCTGCAGCTCGTGTACTGTCCCGCACCAGGCTTCGCGACCACATCACTCCCACCCTCGCTCGCCTCCACTGGCTCCCCATCCCCCAGAGGATTGATTTCAAGATCCTCATCCTCACCTACAAGGCCATTCACGGCCTTGCTCCCTCCTACCTCTCCAACCTACTATCCCCCTACCTACCTGCCCGTACCCTCCGTTCCTCCGGCTCCGGTCTGCTCCACATCCCCCGCCCCAACCGCCCTACCATCGGTGGTCGGGCCTTCAGCCTCTCAGCCCCCAGGCTCTGGAACTCCATCCCCCAGTGCCTTCGCCGCTTCCTCCCTTTCCTCCTTCAAGGCCGGTCTCAAAACCTTTCTCTTTGACCGTGCCTTCAGCTCCCCTCTCGACTCTCTTCCCCCTCCTCGCTCCCTCCCTTCCCTCCCCTCACCCTGACCATTTCCCCCCTCCTCGCTCCCTCCCTTCCCTCCCCTCACCCTGACCATTTCCCCCCTGCTCGGGTCATGACCCAACTGTGCAGCGCCTTGGGACGTCCTCCTGACGTGAAAGGCGCTTTATAAATGGAATCTTGTTGTTGTTGTTGTTGTTGCCCTCCACCCTCCCCAATCTTGACCCCCAGTTCGGGTCCAAAACACTGCGCTATACAAATGTAATTTTGTTGCTGTTGATTATCGCAGATTGGGGGTGGGGGGGAGGGAGGAGGAGAATCACTATCAACACTGTTTTTGCAAATATTGGAGTGGTGTCATGTGGTTAATAATTTCCCCTATAAAAAATATTTCTGATGGTAAGCGTTAGAAAGTAAAAACATTTTAATTTCACAGAATTAAACCTACAGCATTCCTTTAACACAATAGTAACCAGTTGATTCTTCTCCCACTGTTCAACATGTCATATTAACATCTGATGGGCAATGCACAAAACAGAAAACAAGAGTTTGATTCTTTAATAGAGAAAAACAGTGTTGTTGACAAAGAACACTCTGATGAAGTCATGACCACAGGTCAATTGAGCGTAATGTTTGGTTATATAGTTCTTCAACAGCACCTGGCATCGTAAACAGTATCATTACTGAACAAGCCAAGAAAATCATAGGATCATGGAAAAAACATTCTCAAACCCAACTGCTTGTATAGGACATACATACATACACAGTAACTCAAAGGCAAAATTAAGATACCTCTCCCAAACACTAGATTTGTTCTTTTAATCTGAATGATTGTATTACCAAACCTATACATTCTCTTGTTTTGACTAGTTTTTACATCCAAAAAACCCACATGCTCTATTCTGTTACCTTTCTTTCCTCTCAGCTCCTGAATATACTATAATAGGATTCCACAGGTACCAATATCCCCCCAGTTACTTCCCCAAGAAAATGGTCTCTGCATGTGAGCCTTGACGGGCAAAAAGTGACTATAAACTAAAGGTGCATACAGCTAAATTCAATCCTGATCTCATTCACTATCCATACAGGAGCACCTTCAAATAAACATCACTGAATAGTAACTCAGTAACCTGTCTGAATTTTCATATTGAAATGGATTGAGGCTATGATTAATGATATATTTTCAAAAAAAATTCAACAACAAGCCGTTCAAAGTACTACTAACTGCAAACACACCCAGTTACACAAATGGATATGCATTGCCATGCTTTAGGCTATCCAAATCAAACTACTGAGAGTTCCACATATCCATGAAATTTTGCTTCATCTGTAATAGAGTGCTCACTCTCTCCTACCTTGCTCGGGTAATGCTAGAATATAATAGGCAGAGGTTGGCAAAAGCCAAAGCATGGGAACATCAGAATGTGCAGTAAAGCTCTGCTGGAGTTTAAACATCTAAAACAGCATAGATTGCCATTGCAGAGTGTCTGGACAGATTCCCACTGCTTGTCCAGCTAGGACTATCCTAACAGTAAGGGCTTCGGCTGGTAGGACTAATAGGAACAGATGCTAAATGACCCCTTATCCTAGCAACTCGTCTGTCCTTTCCAAGTCTTGCCGACAAGCTGACTGCCTGGTCTGCTTCAACAGTGCCCTGGAAAACTGTGGTCCTGTTTGACTCAGGAACTGAAATATGTCATCTCCCACAGAGGATGGACCAAATTCAATATTCTATTTTCAGGCAAGTCCCCCGAGACCTTGCTTATCTCCCCCAAGGAGGATAGTAACTAGACGTCTGACAAGTATAGTTTTTTTTAAAAAAACAGGAAGTTATGATTTTGCATCACTCTAAATGGCGATACAGCTGTGTTATCTGCTGCTTCAATCTTATTCTGACCTTTATATAATAGTGTAAGAACTTTATTTAAAAAGGGAATAAATTAGGAACTATCTGAATACATTTGTGAGGTGACTCATGAGTATCACATACTTCATGCATTACTCAAAAGGCAGACTTATTATACCTGTTAACAATGAACTACAGAATATTTACCTTTAATACTAAACAATGACATTTCATTAGAACAAGTGCCAATTTGATGCAATCCTGAGCTCAACTCATTCCAGTCCATAGGCTGCATCAAGGATGCACAAATCTCCTAGGCTGGGGGAGGAAATGACTTAATACAAGAGATCCACAGCTGGTGTGCATCACAGTAACATTATGCTGACATCCAATAATGAGTTTCCTAAACACACTGCTCAGCCCAGCAATGGAAATAAACTTTTGGAACATTCAGGTTTCATAGTGCTGAGAGCTTTGTCAAAGTTCACAGCAGAAAGCTTTTCAAAGCCTTGCACACAACAGATGCGTTTGAGTTTGAGATCTGAATCCAGAGGAGGATCACTAGCAATTTATATTTTGGTTAATTTCATGCACATCTGCTTTATATGGTTATATTTTATCCTGGATAACTATATTTAACACAATTAACAGAACTGCTAAACACCAAAGCTTGTTATGAAATATCACTGAAATAAACTGACATTTTGAACTCACTAGGGAAATGGTTTTAAGCCACAGAAGTAGCAGTCTGAGTAAACCGTTACTTGCTATAACACAAAGCACAATCATACGTAGCAATGTATGTGTATAACACATTTATACTCAGCCACTGCATTTTCTATTTCAAGTGAATTTC